TACCATCTTCTACCGCTTTTGGCGTGACAAAACACGTGCTAGGATTCTCAAAAACGACCCAGAGCTGATTGAGAACTTGGCACCTGAGAATCCCCCATTCCCATTTGGCACCAAGCGCCCATCTTTGGAGCGCACGTACTATGAGGTCTTCAACCAAGATAATGTCAAGTTGCACTCATTAAAGAAGAACCCTATCGATAGAGTCACCAAAAATGGAGTAATTATGGCGGACGGCAAAGAGATTGAGCTTGATGCCATACTCCTTGCCACAGGTTTTGATGCCATCACGGGCGGCTTCTCACGGATAGACATCCGAGGGCTCAAGAATAAGTCACTCATGGCTGAATGGGCCACCAAAACCAGGACTCACTTGGGTCTTGCTACCTCAGGATTCCCCAACATGTTTTTCATGTATGGTCCTCAGAGTCCAACAGCCTTTGCGATTGGCCCTGTGCTCACCGAGATACAAGGCGAGTGGATTGTCAACATGATGGTATCGATGAGAGATAACGGATTTTCGTCTATCGAGCCCACAATCAAGGCCGAGCAAGGATGGTCTCAAACCATTGGCAAGGCCATTGATGCAACTCTCATGCATCTAAATGAGACGACTTGGTATATGGGCGCAAACATTCCCGGCAAGAAGCGCGAGGCATTGAATTATGTTGCTGGGACGGATACATATGGTCATCAGTTGAATGAATGTATGAGAAATAGGTTACAGGGTTTCACCTTGTATTAGAGCATCAATGTTACGTATAAGCGCTTCAAATTGAATTGTAATTTTGAGAAATGAATAAGTCATATATATTTCATAACATTATTTGATATGCTAACTTGTTAAGCACGTACCTTAGTGACGAAGTTGTATAGTAGGCCACCGTTTCCTTGAGGCGATATGCGCAATATAGTATGGCTAATAGTGTCTGGTCAAGAGTAAAAGATATTCTTTAGACTCATCCCTAAGACTATGGCCTTTCGAACGCTCGATGTGATTCAGCTCGTTTCCCCGAGAACCAACACTCTGCCAGCTCATGCCTGTTTCTTGCGCCAGCACTGGTTGTCTCAGACATTCGATTCTTCATGACGCCACATTGGTCTCGAAATGATAGAACAGATCAGACTCTTGCGACTATCATACTAAAACAATCCTCTCAGAACGGCGGGACACGATTCAGTCTATCCGAGGACACAAAATTGTTGGTTCAAGACAAAGCCACGACGTTGCTTCGAAAAACTCTGAACCAGCGGCTTCGCTCTGGCCTGTTGATATCGTGATGGAACGAAGCACCGTTTATCCTCTAGGCTCCGTCATAGTCTTTTTTGCCAAGGGAAGGGTGCGCATTCGTGAGGCCACTGGTACAATATTCATTTAGCTTCTGGCAGGGATTGACGACGAACAGACCATCATTATCAGTGCTCCCGGCTATCGGCCAGTTGTAGGCCGTGTCGAGTCAGTACAACCTTGCACAGATTTTCAGCTCAAAGAATTGCCGCGTGTCCGTCCCTTGTCGGGTTGAGCTTGTGCCTATGGCAACCCCACGTCTTATTTCCCATCTGGCAGGTGATATTAGGCTTCCACCACCGTTATTGAGGGGTACCCCAACCAAGATTTAAATCTACAGCTATAACATAATGAGCATGAATAATGTCTACTGTAATGACAAACTCTAACTCCAACAATTGGAGTTTGGTGAGGGAAAAAGACAGGGTTTCTCCGAACCGGAGTCATCCTAGTCTGCTTTGTGGGGAGGGTTCACGCAAACTTTTCTTACCATCTTCAGACTCCAGAGCGACAATCAGTCCCGCTTTTCATCTTATCCCCGTGACGGGTCGTAAGAGGCTGGAGATGCCGCATTCGGAGGATTCAAATGCAATTGTGGTGTCATGAATACTACCCCCAGTCATATATGAGGGTCCTTATCGCGAATACACGAGGGAGGCAATGTTTTGCTTGCTTTAGCGTGCAGAAGTTCTGACGCTGACCGCTCGCTCGGGAGACCCTGATATAAAATAAACCCAGCTCGTCTGGGCCGTGTGCTGGTAGCCTGGCTCTGCTAGCTTTCTATCTGATTCGAATCCCGCGCTTGGACACTTTGATCTACGTTCATCTGTCGTATCGCGATGGTGTCTTTCGGATTCCGGAGCCGCAGTGCTCTTCAGGTGAAGCATGAGCGTACCCCCGAGGAAAAGTCGTTGATCCGCCGTCTAGATATTTTCTTCATGACATTTGGGTGCATTTCTCAAGGTCTGTTGTACCACTCTGGCTTAGCTACATCGCGACAACGCAACCTACGGACCTGAAATTGACGAGACGCGGCAGTTATCAAATATCTGGATCAGACCAACATCAACAACGCCTATGTCTCGGGTATGAAAGAGGATCTCCAACTTTATGGAAATGAGCTCAATTTGTGAGTGCCGCGTGAAAAAATCGCACTCTGAATTCCCAGGCTAATGGCGGAATTATCAACATGCAGCTTCTCAACTTACTTCAACATCGCGTACTGCGTGATGCTCATTCCGTCACAGATCATCCTGACATATGTGCGACCAAGCTTCTGGCTGCCTGGACTGGAGATTGCTTGGGGTATCATCACTGGACTCATGGCGGTTACCAAGCACGCGAACCATGTCTATGCCCTACGCGTCTTACTCGGTCTCTTTGAGAGCAGTGCCTGGCCCGGAATGGTCACTTTACTGAGTAAGTTGATACTCCAGCCAGAAACCGGTTTTGTGATAGAGAAGCAAAATAATTAATATGGATTCGCAGTGTATTGGTATACACCCACCGAGTTGGCCAAGCGTATAGGATTCTATCATTCGTGCCAGGCTTTGGGGTCCATGATGTCAGGCGCCATGCAAGCCGCCATTACGGAGACGATGGATGGTCGGCATGGAATCGCAGGCTGGCGATGGCTGTTTATCATCAACGCAATCATTACCATCATCTGGGGTATCTTGGGTGTTTTTATGATGCCCGATGTCCCTAACAAGCCTAACCCGCTCGCATTCTGGTTCAGAAAGGGTGATGGCGAGCTAGCCATGCTGCGTCTCGCTCGCCATGGTCGTGCCGAATCCAAGAGGGTCACCTGGGCCGGAATCAAGCGCACCTTTTCGGGCTGGGTCGTGTACTTCATCGCCATCTTGTATGTCGCTAGCGTTCTGGGAACCTATGGAAACGTCTACTTCTCCCTGTTCCTCAAGTCGCTCAAGAATGCAGATGGGACGGCAAGGTGGACTACCTCCCAGGTCAACGCCATTCCCATCGGCGCATATGGTATCAATGTGGTGTTTGTGTGGATTTGGGCCCTCTTGTCAGACTTCATCCGATCCCGGTGGACACTCATCATCGCACAGGCCTGCATTGGCATCATCACATGTATTATCATGAGCATCTGGACCTCGCATCCCGAATCCACTGGTCTGGCTGCGGCTTACGCCTCGTACTTCCTCGCCTTCACTTGTCTGGGCACCGCACCCCTTATCTTCTCGTGGCTCTCTGATCTCATCCCACAGGATCCGGAAGCTCGAACTCTCACTGTTGGTGTGGCGGTTGCGGCCTACTACGCCATTTCGTCCTGGTCCCAGGTTCTGACCTGGCCAGCCTCCCAGGCACCGCATTACAAGTATGGATGGCAGTCAGCCCTAGCTTTGCTAGTTCTTCTGATCATCATGACATGCATGTTGCGTTTCATTGATGTCAAGTACCTTTCCCCCAAGCGAGAGGAATTCCTTCAACAGTTGGAAGCCGAAAGAGAGGCCGAAGCCGCGGACAACGCCTCCATGGCTTCTGGGGAGAAGGAGCCCAAAGTTGAAGAGACGGCCCAGAAAAATTCTTGAGATGAACATATCATGTAACTCGAATGCTTATGGAATAAGCATCATTGATTAGCTATTCCAGAGGTCCTGTGAATAAATAACTACATATTACGAGCCTTCGTACAAGCTATCGCCCGATAAACTATCAACTCACTTTGACTTGCGCCTCTTGATGATTTTGCCATTATTTCATAGTATTTTCATGCGTTCAATTAGTCCTCACTATTGTTGCAAACAAATTTTCTTTAAACTTGATAACTATTTAAAAGACAAAGAACCCAATGCAGCGGATCTCTCGCCTTGTTTCTCTTTCTCTTGAGACTCCCGTAGCCTACTCTTTGTGCCTCTCTGTACGAGCGACTCTTGGCTCCTATCTACATCTCAAAAGTCAGATCCTCGCTTAGGTTCCATCGTTTTCGAATTAGATATGACGTGAGATTTCTTGAACCTAGGGCCGTGTGAACTATGTTCAAAGTATCAATCACAGTCACTCATGCAAGTTGCCGAAGACTATTAGTAACGCAGGCGTTTCCCGCCACCCACCAGGGCTCTTTACAGTCGCAGCGCAGAAAGTCCGTGCTGATCGCGCAAAAGTCATACATAGCCCTGAAATCTCCTCAACAATTTCAAGGTGGAATTTAGTCACATTCGATTATGTGAAGATCTCAGTGCTCTGTGAAACTAGTACAATATCGTAACCGCCATGAGGAGGACCTCGGAAAAGCACAAAGATAGACCAGTCTGCTAAAGAGACCAAGTGTTTTCCATCTGTGATCATAAATTTATGCATACTACTCATCATTTCTGCTTATACTCAGTGTGGAAAATGCACCATCTAACAAGAGGGCAATCGCATGGCAGCTTTCCCAGCGCTGCACATCATTGTGGCACAATTAACTTGTGTGGCGAGTTTGCATTAATAAGATTACATCAATATTTGCCATGACGTAACTCATCCCATGGTCTGACGGAGTCATCTTTTCGTTTCAAAATACGCCCTGGCCTATCATCATTCATGATGACAGTGGGGGCGAAATATTTCGTGAGAAAACAATCTTCAAAATCTAGCTGACGCCCTCACGGCCTCACTGATCAAAGCCGGTATCTACCTTTAATTTAACAGCATCAAACTAGCTCAGCTTGCAGTATTCACTTCTTTCGTTTCCTTCCGTTTCATAATGTCTAGCGACAAAGAGCCCCAAACCTCCCGGCGCGCTTGCAACCACCCAGTTGGGAACGGGCCATACGCCGCGCCAGTCAACGGCAAAGGCTGCGGCTGGTGTGACAATCAGGACAAGTATGGGTACGGTTCCAGTGTGTGTGGACGCTGCGGCAGGTGTCATGGCTGTGGGAGCACCAACAACGGCATCGGGCCTGTCCAGTCTATTTACTTTGGTGGAAAGTGGGCACTTGGCAAGCTGTTGAATAAGGGAGACGAGGAGGAGAAGAGGAAGAAGGAAAAAGGAAAGGATGAGAGTAACTAACTTGATAGTTGTGATATTCAATGAGCTGAGTATGTCACATATTAAAGGTTGGTTGCCTCTTTAGCTAACTATTTGATTATAGAAATACACGTTGAGCGAACTACAGGCTGTTGAAATTACGTATGGGGTAATCCGATCAATGTCTAGTTTCATTAAAATGATGTTCGCCGTTTACGAGCTTATGTTTGACTTCAATACGGGGGTTGAACGATCATCCACAGCAACAGGCCTTGTCGAGTCTGACCGACAAAACCTTGTCGTTCACATGCACGTTCTAGTCGCTTTATACCAGATATCCACAAAGAGATTACAGGAACATAGACTAGCACACAAAACAAGTCGTATTCATGCATCTGTTTTCTTTTTTGGTCATCTATCTCCGTGGTGTGTTGCGTATTGAGTTAAGGCTATGAACTACAGACCCATCTCTCTACCGCGGTTCTGCTGTAAGTTTCGTTCAAAGCATGTGCTTGAACTCAAAGTCGCCGGGCGAATGGAATGATGTGATCGGGGGCTTATGTTAGAATAGATGTGCCGTTGTTCGATTGATTTCGCTCCGCAACTTTTAGAGTAGGTTGTGTTGCTCTTGTGCCCTCCAGTAGTTAGCATATCTAAATCTTTACCTATTTTCTTTCTTGAATTCTACCTTAAAAATCACCACTGAGTGAAAGGAAGCATCTCTTACGCCGAACATGAATAATAATCATGAACACTAATGTTTGGGTGAACTGTGCAACTCAAATTCGTCTCGGACCAACGGAGGATATAGTTCAAAGATAATATCATGCAAAATCCTATTAAGATCGTCACTTCGGATTCGTATTCCTCACCCTTGTCTTCGGTACTTTAACGAGAAGACAGGGACGGTCCATGGGTCTACGGGACACGCCGAGCATGTAAGCTTCCCCTCCTTTTCGGCAGACTCCAAAGATCCCCAAGATGTTCCACCAAATAAAACCGATCAGTCACACTGCCAAGCAGAGCTAGTGACCATCGCCGAGGCTCATAAAGGGGGCAGATCGATCTAAGACATGTGCTAAAGGCAACGGCAACGGTAGAGATTACCCGTAAAGTGCTAATATGGGCTAGTTCAGGGGTCGTGTAGGCCGCTCAGGAACGTTCTTGTTCCTGTCAGCAAATCAACGATGAAGATAATTGTCAGATGGTCTATTTAGTGGTGTGGAAGATGTCAAAAAGGTGCTTGGCATATCCAGAAAGGGGGCACACATCCGAATTGGAGCTGAGTTATCAACCCAGATCAGCTCATCTTGGATATCCATCTGTGTAAGCCCGATCCTATTCACGAGGAAAATTTTGTAAAAACCGAGGCATAGATGATGGGATTTCGAAAGTGCCGCTAGCGGCGCTTGTCATTCTGTTCACACGACGAATAAGCCCTTGGCACTGACACGACACCGACACTTCCGTCGTATCTTGGGGGCCATCTATCCCCACGGGGCTGCATCTTGGCGCGGGGTAGCACCCTGGCAGCCATGAGATGTTGTGCCATTAGGAATGGGGCTCGTAGTGCGGTGGCTTTGCGGAGCGGGAGCACGAAATAATCAAAGGAAATTAACGAGTGGCTCTTTAATCAAAGGAAAGATATAAATCAGATCAAATACCGCATGGAAATTCATGGTTATGAGCCAGCTCAACCAGCCAGGCTGAGGAGAAGCCCAGAGTAGACCCAGAATCCTATCTCTACTCCCAGCTACAGTCTGAGATTCCTGCCCACCATGATCGTCTCCCACCTTCTGCATCTGTTTCTCCTGGTAGCAGTCCAGGTGTCTGCCGTCCCTACTGCTGTCCTTGAAGGGCGGGCCAAAGTCGCCACCGCGACCATCAGCTCCCCCTCGGCCACGCTCCTGGGCAACGTCAACAATGGTGTTGAGCAGTTTGGCGGGGTCCCCTTTGCGGAGGGGAACCAGAGACTGCAGAAGCCCAAGAGATTGACATCGCCGCTGGGCACAGTCGACGCTACGGGCGCTGCAGGGGCGTGCCCCCAGATGATTGCGACTACGGACGACAAGGACTTTCTCCAAAACCTTCTTGGCAGCATTGCCAACCTCCCATTCGTCCAGGAGGCCACGGGACAGAGTGAGGACTGTCTCTCTATTACGGTGGCCCGCCCTGAAGGGACGAAGGCGGGTGATAATCTCCCGGTCCTATTCTGGATCTTTGGCGGAGGCTTTCAGGTGAGTGACCAGGGTGGCTTCCTTCACATCTCTCGATCCAAAATGGAGTAGAGTACGAGGCTAACATATCTTTGTTTTCAGCTGGGATGGTCTTCCATGTATGACGGCGAAGGCCTCGTCAACTACGCCAAGAGCATCAACAAGCCCATCGTCTTCGTGGCAGTCAATTACCGGGTCGCTGGCTACGGCTTCCTGGCAGGCAAGGAGGTCAAGGCCGCCGGCGTGGGCAATCTCGGTTTGCTCGACCAGCGCATGGGCCTCGAGTGGGTAGCTGACAATATTGCGGCATTTGGCGGCGACCCAGAGAAGGTCACCATCTGGGGCGAGTCGGCCGGCGCCATCTCCGTCTATGCCCAAATGGCGCTGTACGATGGAGATCACACCTACAAGGGCAAGCCGCTCTTCAGGGGTGCCATAATGAACTCGGGCAGCGTTGTCCCGGTGGAACCCATCGACGGGAAGAAGGGGCAGGCTGTGTACGATCAGGTGGTCAAGGCGGGAGGATGCTCAGGCAATGCGGACACGCTCAACTGCCTGCGAGGTCTCAGTTATACGGCTTTCCTGAATGCTGTGACTTCGGTGCCTGGCATCCTGTCGTACAACTCTCTTGCGCTGTCTTATCTTCCACGGCCTGATGGGGTCAGTCTCACGGACTCCCCTGACGCGCTGGTTGCTGCTGGCAAGTATGCGGCCGTCCCCATGATTATTGGTGATCAGGAAGACGAGGGCACGCTGTTCGCGCTCTTCCAGTCGAACCTCACCACCAACGACCGCCTCGTCAACTATCTCAAGAGCTACTTCTTCGACAGCGCCACCACGGCCCAGCTAAACGACCTTGTCAACGCGTACGGGAATGGCCTGACCGCCGTCATCGATGGCAGCCCATTCAACACGGGGCTGCTCAACGAAATCTTCATTGGCTTCAAGCGCCGCGCCGCCATCATGGGCGACCTCGTATTCACGCTCGCCCGCCGCGTCTTCCTCGCGACGGCCAACACCGTCAATCCCAATGTGCCATCCTGGTCCTACCTCGCCTCCTACGACCAGGGCACGCCAATCCTCGGCACCCTCCACGGCTCCGACCTGATCCAGGTCTTCTTCGGGATCAAGGACAACTACGCCGCCAAGGGGATCCGCGCGTACTACATCAACTTTGTCTACTCGCTCGATCCCAACGAGGGGAGGGGGTCGTACCCCGAGTGGCCCCGCTGGTCGGAGACGAACAAGCTCCTCCACTTCTTCGCAGACAAGTTTGAGCAGCTGGATGACAATTTCCGCAGCGCCGGGTACAACTGGTTGGTGAAGAACATCAACTCCCTGCGGTACTAATCGGTTATGGGGGAATGTCATCTCATCTGGGTAGGGGGAACGTGACTGATGGGTTGGGGTTCTGATATTCTGGGGGGGCTGGGGTAAACAAATCTACGTACATAGTAATGCCGATAATTACCTTGACTCAAGACCCACGCAGGCAGGTCACCTGCAGCCTGGAGTCCCCTGGACCATGCAAAAATGCCGTAGCGGTGTGTGGGAGATGGAGATGGGATTTCTGGCGGGGTTACACTGCGCGCGCTGGGCTGAGGGACTTTCGCCCGTCTGGTCGTAGTCGATCTGACATGAACATCGTCCCAAGCATCCGCCGTCCCATTGCATCCCGTTGCCGAGGTTTTTTGGAATCCGCCGGCATGTGAAGCAGATATCATCTGGTGTCCCGTCGTTTTCGCTTTAGGCCCCTGTCCGCCAACCCGCATCTGATGTCGTCATGAGATGTGGAGGAGCCAATGAGGCAGTAATCTTCATCATCCTTCGGACGAGACTGTCGTTTCAGGTACGAACTCCGTGGGGTAGGTAGATCTCTTTGTGGGTTACGAGATGCAGCCACAACCCAGAGACTGTCTGGGCGATAACTGAAGTGAGACATCGAAATGCTCGTCTTGAGCAGGGCGCTTTCTTGAATACGGGGAACCATATACCAAGATGGAACGAAACAAGTTGACAATTTATTTTAAATTGCCTGCTGGATATTTCTCATTAGCTCTCAGTAACATGACAATCAGCAGTCATAAAGCCGAAAATCCAGCGCCATAGTGCTTGGGGGTATTTATTTCACTGTCATCAGTTGCCAGCTTGTTCATAGGCTTGAGTGGCCTCTCCCATGAGGGTAGTGTGGGTGTCGCCAAAGCAAGCGTTCATGCATGCAAAGTTCAGGCATTGCATGCCTAGGAGCAACTTTAATTCCGAATGCGAGGGGGCACCACAGGACGATGTAAACAATAGCGCAATCGTCTGATCGTCGCGCTTTTGAACCCAAGTTCGGCCCAGCAGGGTCGGGGATACTGCATACAGGTTGCCCCAGGTCAATCGGGTTAGACACCCAGATCACAAGTGACGACCACTGTGTCATGAACCAAGAATAGAGGAGCAAGATGACTTAGTCTTTGCTTTGGCTACTCTTCTTAGACTCGCCTGATGACTATCTGACTCTTTGTATCACAATGAACGAAATGACTGTCACTGGCATATGTTTAATGAAGCTCTGTACATACGTTCGAGAGGTTTGAGATCATTCTGGATGAGACATTGTTCCTGGCTTGGTGAAGATTCCGGTTGGGCCATCAAGGCGCCATATTCATTGCAGGAACTCCAGCTGGCTCTCCGTTGAAATTAATTATATCCTTCTCTTCGTTGATTTGATTTCCCGCCTTTCGATCTCCAGGTTCTTCTTATTCGAAAGGATGCCTAAACATGTTTTCAATCAATGGCAGGTAATTCAGTTCAGATTAAGGATGGAGGAACATCGGTCAAAGAGAAGTTGGTCAAATGCGACGCAGCTTTCCAGTGATCGGGCCACTTCATTTATTAACGCACCCAAGTTTAAATCAGTAAGTACTTGAATTGTGTGTGGCATTCTTCACATTGCCATTAGCTCATCATCATAGTTGTTCACTGCGCAAAGACGCCTTCCAAATATGAAATTATCATGAACCCACTCAACATCTCAAGCAACTTCTTCAACTCCGCCCAACTGCACCAAAATAATCTCTCCTCACGGCTACAGAGCTGTGAAACACCCAAGTGTGACAGTAAGTCCCGCAAAAACAAGAGATCTTGACACTCCGGTAAAGTTCCCATATCCTTTCGGTGCATTGGTGGCGGTCGCGCTGGGGAATGTCGAGGTGCTGGTCGAAGACGTCTCTTCTGCTCCGGCAGAGGCTGCCTCAGAAGCGGTTGTCGCGGAGTTTCGCTGCTCTTTACCAGCTGCTTAAGTTGATTTAGCTGAAGTGGTTGCACTGATCGCGGGTAAAGAAAGACAATGCATGGAGGAGAACGCCGAACTTTGAATCGATGGCTAGTCACCTGCGTCCCCTCCGTCATCGTAGAAATCAGTGGAGTTCGAGTATGCTTGTCCGTACCGCCCGTGATGACGACCATGACGGAGTAAGACTGCATGTAGCAGGTATCCGCGCTCTTCGACTGTGTGGGCAGCTCAGCGCTAGACTCTCCAGCCTTGTCCGTCCTCATGGCAGACTGCTGCTCCGCCAAGTTGCAGTCCCAGGACGTTCGCGACCCTAAGATAACATGATTTCCAGCCCGTGACGATCCGGAGATGTTCGTAATGGTCTGTTCCGGGAAATCGGTCGAGGCACAGGACGGTCGGCGCGTACACCTATGTGATGGTATTCACGGTTACGAGAAATCCCTTGAACGAGTTGAGGAAAGTTGCATGAGGGAGGAACATCTGCCGGTGGAGTGTGTAGGGCCGAGTTCGCGCAGTGGTGAGTCGAGTTAGCACTTTTGCCACGCGTTTGTTTTGTTTTCCAAGAGCTTCAGCTATGAAGGGTTTAATCAAGGGGAGCACAAGCACACGAGGGGATACTTTCCGTGCATCACACCATTTCCTGGTTTAGTAGATGAGTGTCAAAACTCTTGGGCTCGTTCTAGAGCTGCATGTCGTTTATTTTCATGTCAGTTGATTCTACCTTGCCATTGAAGGCCTCTCGGTCCAGGGTAAATACGAAGAAGGATCTGCCTATGCCGCTACATACCTTCACGCACAACGCAGCATCTTAGGCGCTGACCAAGGGAAGGCCTCATTGGTCTGCATTGGGTAATTTTAATAGAGGGAAAGTCATTCAGGACCAAACTATCTCATTCTCTTCCGGTAATGTTCAATAAAGATATACCAGAGTTGCATCGTCCACGCAGACATGTCAGTGAACAACAATTCATCAAAAAGTGAATTACGGTAGTCTAAATGTCCTTGCATAACTGATCAGCAGTGGCTTATCTTCAACAACAATATAATTCGAGAATTAACCGACCTTTAACAATGTGAGTTTTTCTAGAAGAAAGAAACAAGTTTTCCAATTAGGTGACATTGAGATCAACAAAGACTTCAGGCTCAAATACATGTAGAGTCCCGTGCAAGAAAGATATGAATCTAGGGTACGAAATAATACCTCCTGCCTCTCGAATCAATCATTTCTTCTGCAATCCAGGATGTGCGTTAGAGTGGTGATCGCGTTGTGTGAAGTGAGGTTGAGGATAATTGCACCGAGGTCCTACCCTCAATGCGGGCTTGATGCGATCGTGAAGCTACATGCAAACGTCACCTTCAATTTCTACACAGATAACAATTTCGCATTACTTGTACTCACCCGCCTGTGTCGTGTGCAGAGAGCGGGCTGGAAGCCATTCCACAGAAATCGCGGTCCAAGCTAGAGTGCATCTCAGGCACGCTTGTTTCGAACCTGGCCAAAAAAAAACCCAAAAATGACAAGTTACAAGCAGGCATCGAATGCAAGTGAACCTTTTGGTGCCCTGGAGTTAAGTAAAGTCGCGGTTTGTTTTGTTTACTTGGCTGCGTGTGTAACTTTGAAGCCACAAGGCTTATCTTATCTCTCCGCGCGCCACTCTCGATTGCTCCTTCCTCAGGCCAAAGTGACGTGCAGGAGCCACTCACTTCACCTTCACCCACCTTCAACCGCTGCATTTCTTCATTTCTCAAGCTTCATTCTCCAGCTTCTTCCCTCCTCTCATCCGCTTACTCTATTCGCCATTCTAGACGTCCGAATCGAGTGCCACTTCCCATGCCTTCCCGATCACGCCCTTCGCGGTCCTCGCGATCGCGAACCCGCCGGCGAAAACATCACCGAAAACATCCCGAGATCGATAAAAATGACCCCGAGATCATTTGGCGGACAGATCAACATCGTTACCTGCGCCGTTTGGAAGCTCAACTAGAGGAACGCTACAAAACGGTCAGATACACGGAGGCTGAGCTGACTTCTCTGGGATACAAGCTCGGTGCGCCCCTCGATGTCGACGACCCCAAGCCGCTCGACCTTGATTCCAGATTCTTTGTACCTGCGACCCCGGCACAGGTTGAGGAAGCACTTCATGACTATGATCAGGGACTTGATGGAAGTTGGTCATGCTACCCGCCCATTGTAGTCCCACGAAGAGCAGCATGCCGCGGACAGAATGCAAATAGGACGTTTGAGAGCCGACTCAAGACCTATTATGCTCAGCGCGCCAACGAAGCGGACTGGATCTCGGGCTATTTTAGACATGCTGCCAGTGTAGGCGAGCCTGACAACTGGGTTTGGTGTCCAAATGGGTGAGTTCGCCTCCTTGCGCACGATCTGCAACACCACACAGCTGGCTCATTCAAATGCTTTCCAGGTTCTTGTACAAAGACGAGGCACAGAGACACATGGAGAGAGGCTGGCGAAGCCCCTCTGGCGAACCTGTTGTCCAAGAGTGTGGATGGGTCCCCTGGTACTACGCAAAAGATTTCTATGGCACCCACGAGCCAACCATTCCACATGCTCTGGGTACCGTCTGGGACAATATGCCGGCCAAGCAACAACAAATCCAGAAGAGCGAACTCCGCCTTATTCTTGGGCTCATCAAAGGCCAGCTTAAGTTTCCTCTGTTATGGCCTCGACACCGAATCTTCCCGGTACGTCCAACTTTGTTCCCAATCATCATTTCGAAACTTGCTAACCATTTAAACTACAGGCTCTTGTGATCAGTTTCCAATCGCGCTTTACTGCTCGGATTGTTCAAGGCCATCTAGAAAATGGCCAGATCGTGTTGCGCCTTTCACGACTCTTGGACATGCATACCCCCGGCCTTCCACCTGATGGCAGAATCATCATCCAATGGATGAGATCCCAGCCGATGGCCGAGACCAGGGCTGCGCTGCCTCTTGAGGCTCACCGCGAACGCGTGAATGAGGAACATGCGGAGGACAAGGTTGGTCAAGCACATTGCATAGCGATTGCTGGTCAAAGGGATGGCAGCTCAGTGGTCCCAAGATGAGTCTTCGTGCTCTCCATGTTGTTGGCTCGAATGTTTCCTTTCACAGAACTACCTGAAGACGCTCAGGAATTGCATGACTATTGCCATTGGGAAGAAAACTAGGGCGGGTAATGGTTCGACTTGAAGATATGGCACGCACTCGCAATAGTTAACTACTCCGGGTACAAGGGGTGAGTCTGTATGTTTCTTCTTCGTATAATGAAGTCAATTAAATCAACCGGCCAAGGTAAAATGGCATATTTCACCCAAAAAGCCAGTACTTCGTCGCAATGACCCAATTATGTTCAGTTACCGAGGCATCCTCAAACCTGCGTAAAACGGCCGCCCTGCTAATTCTGTGGACGTTTCTCATTCAGCCACTCTAGATCATGATGTTTTTCACGCCCTTTTTGGTGCTCGTACACATGTTTGCGTGATCAGACTGGGTATGTTTCAGTCTGTTGGCTCACCAAGTGTCTGTCGGAAAATCAGGAACTGCAGAGTCATCTCGACAGTCAGCTATTGGCTAATCGTGGCCTGCTTTGGAAAGTTTGGGTTGGGACCAAAATATGCTTGGAGCTTCCAATATTCAAACGCACACTGATCACTTCACTGTAACTCCTGTTGACGTAGAGTACAAACGTCAAGCAGCCTCCTTTAGTGCCTCACCGTGAATCTCCTGGCCAAACAATAACAGTGGCCCACACGGGAAACTCCTCCGCACACCTCTTCTCCTTTCTGCGTCCTCCACTCCTCCCTTCCTCTCTTCCTTTATTTCTCTCCTCCATCCTCCTCAGCTCACCTCGGCTCTCTTTCCTCTACTCTTCTCACTCCCACGGCTCACTCCAGCACTCCACTCCTAGCTACTCTCCTCATTTTCAAATATCCACCTCGACTCCTTCAGTGGTTGTTTCAGCTCCGCACACAACAATGGAGCGGAATGAGAAACTTCTTGCAACCCCCTCTGACTGGGCTAAAAGAATGAAGAAGTTCCGTCATTTATCTCCAAACGCCTATCCTTACAACATTTCGCTGGATGGCGTAAAGAGACTGGCATCTGCCTCGTGCTTGAATTTAAAGACGGGCTGCTGCTCATGATCCTATCAATCCTTGACGAAACGAGAACCGGCTCCTACCCTTGTCCTTGGCTCAGACAAAGGGCCTAAGCTAGAGAAAGCATGTCGAGAGTACCTACGGAAACAGTCTCGATTACATGACCAACGGGTTTGAAAGCGCAGAAATGAATCCTACCCAAGGCTCGTCTACAATTTACGTACAGACGGGGCCTTTGGTGGTCAGCACTTGAGTCTCAGGACACAGACCCTGATTCCTGGCTTTTGATGGGAATGTGGAAGTTATCACAGCTTGAGATTGAGAACGTCGCAGAGATGGTGCCTGTCAAACCTTTAGTATGAGATGGCCCTATGGAAAGAGGCGGATCTTGAAATCGCCGCTCGAGGCGAAGTCATCCAATACGAGAGTCCCCAGTATGACTTGGAGAATCTTTTCACCTACAAAGTTTGTGTTGAGCCTGCGTCGGGATCATCGTCCGCGTTCACTCCAGAACCAAACCAGAGCCTCGCCCCAGGCCAGCCGTCATCGCAGGTCAACAAACAAGACACACAAGCGACGTCACCAGTTCCCAAGCTACAGAGCAGTACGAGTTCGAAGTTCCTCTCGCCAGTCCCGTCACAGGCTCACAATACTCGCCTGGAAAGGTGTCCGTCTCTAGCATTAGCCACCGTCTAGCGAACCGTCCACCGGACGAAGCACTTGTCAACAAGGCGGTGGTTGATCTTCTACAGGGGATCAGCAGGAAGCACCCACTTATCAGGGATAAGTACGACTGGTCAATAATTCATCAGACGTTTTACGTATTTCAGCAGCGGGAGGCAAAGGAGAAAATCATGACCAGCCGAACTGATGGCTGTCTCCAAGTTGTGAAAGAGGGCGAGCTTCTAGAGGACTGCCGCACCCTTGCCATCGTCGAAGCATTGCATAACTGATCAGCAGTAGCTTGTCTTCATCAGAATTATTCAAGAATTGACCCCTCCCTTCAAGCAATTACTTCATCTTCCCAATCTTCCCAAAAATGAGAAGACATGGGCTTCATGTATCAGAAAGCACGGCCACTCACTTCCTAAAAATAACAACCCCTCCACTGTGTCCCTTGATAAGCTCGACCACCACCTTAATTGGGCTTCGAACATTTAACTTCCGGAGATAAAGCAAACTCCTATTTCGTGGCAGGAGGGCGCCGTGATGGCTGCATCGATTTCGACGGAGTCCTTTTGTGGACTGCTGCCAGGGTCGGACCCAAGCGGAATCATGAGGTAAGCCCGCCCTGTAGCTATCACAGTCGTATTATTAGTTTGTTACTAATCTTTTTTTTTGATAACTGTGGAAGATTTCTTACCTCACAGGGACCTTGATGAGATTTGCATTACAGTTGCCGAGTATGACAAAGAGTACGTCGATCATATCACCAAGGGGTTCAAGAGCGCAGAGATGAACTCTACCCAAGGCTCGCCAACAACCTTCGTACAATTGGGGCAGAAAAGGTCGCGGGGCAGGCGCAGCAGGGAGCAGCGGAGGGAGGAGAGGCACGGGGGTGACGATGAAGAAGGCCAAGGTGACATGAGATCAACTGGCTTTCTTACCATGAGGAAGTTTGCTCCCATTCGAATTACCAACGACACCATTAGCGATGACATGGTCCTCTTGCTGTCAATAAATATTTGGCTCTGTGATGAGGACAGTCGAGGTCTTGGCAAACTTATTGTTGAAGATGCTCCTGTCTCTATACGACATGAGAGGGATAACTGAATGAGCTAATACTCTTGACGAGGATGAGATTGCTTCTGGGATTTATTTTTGGTTTAGAATAAGTATGTGTTGTTCGTGTAGTCGATCATAAAAATAACGAGCCACACAATGGCGCGATGGGCGAATACCCAAGATACAATAAGCACCTCAATAGCGAGCTCGATGAACATAATCAAATGTCGAGATCCCATGTTTCTGCCCAGTCGAGTAGCTACATAAAATATGGCACACCTAGAACGTCCAGTGTTGAGTTTCAACACAATATCAACACAGTAGTAAACACTAGTAGGCCAGATATCGTAGAACAATCTGTTCTTTTTCAAGATTACGTTTAACAAGAAGACAATATCTCTACCTTGGATGAGAGCTTCAGTATGATATGCTCTCTTTCAGTCACTTGCCAGCTTTATCAGTATGAAGTGAAAAGTCCATCACCCAGACTTAGGAGGCTTGTTATTGGTGAGAACTTGCTCACTTTGCTCTCACTTCTGCTGGGTAAAAGGTACGTCACTCGCACTGCACTGTACTGCCAGTAAGGGGAGCAAGTAACTCGAGTTTCTAAGGCGGCCAAAAACAAACACCCAACGCGAGGACCCACATTGGACTCTTCACGCTTCTTTCTGCCTCTGTTTTCCTTCTCTCTTCTGCAACTTACGCGTCATCACCTTCTCCAAACATCCATCTTTCACCTTCCTCCTGCATCTCCCAGACTCACATCTTTCTTCACTCAGTTGTCTTCGCTTACTTTCATTGATCTCATACATTCTCTCCGTTTGCCTACAGATCTTCCTTCGTTGGCATGACTTCGCCTTCTTAACGTTCCAGCTCATTGATTACGACAATGGCTCCTGTGAAGCAATTAATTGATCTTCCCAGAAATGAGATTCTATGGGCCAGATGTCTAACAAAGCACCGCCGCTCACTGCCCGAGGGCGACCCCTCCACAGTATCCCTCAATCGCCTCGAGCAGCAACTCAAGTCAGCTTCAAAGCTGAAATTCCCGGACTGGCTGTTGCTCAAGGCCCTTCACGTCGAAGAACAGAACAAACCAACCCCCACCAATATCTTTGGCGAGAAAGTCGGCACCTCGCTTGAAGAGGAGAGCCTTTTGCATCTTCAAGGTGAACCTTGGTGGCCAGCTGTTGAGTCAAGCAGCATTGAGCGTGCTGCATGGAGAGAAATGTGGCTGTGGAAGAAGGCCCAGCTTAAAGTTGACAGACGGACGACTAATTTACTCAACAAGCCCTCAGCAAATGGCGTGGACGACTCTGATGACCTGGACGACATTTTTGAGACCTACACCGAGCCCGCTGAACATCACAGGTCGACTGCCCAGCGTGGCCAAGACAAAAGGCGCTCAGACCACGCAGCCGACAAGCAAACTGCATTAGACCATGGCCTGACTTCAAGTTCTGAACCTGGCAGTGCGGACGAGGGAGGCAGCATGGCATCCAGAAACTATTCAGACGAGGACATGGAGGACGAAGCTTCAACCAACAACGCAATTGGCCAAGGCAACGACCTCGCTGCAGACCCATCTTGGGAACCCTCTAGCCAGAAAAGCGGAACAGATGATGGATCGACAATGAGCAACGATACTCGCACCCTGAGCGACAGCCCGCCAGATGAAGTCTTAGTCAACACAGCGCTAGGCCTGCTGTTGGACGGAATCACCGAATCTCACCCCGATGTTGATGGCAAGTTCGAGTGGACAACTTTCCACAGACGATTTGAGGTTTCGCAACTCAAAGACCGCGACAACGAGGAGAAACGCGAGAAGGTCATGGCGGCAAAAGTGGATGGCTGCCTCCAGACCATTGAACCTGGGAAGGTCGAAGAACATTCCGACGCTCTGTGCATTCTCGAAGTGAAGCCGGTCCGCCGGGGGGCCAAGAGACTATCTATTGCGATGCAGGAGGCTGCAGAAATGGCAGCCTGGATCTCGTCAGAACACGAGCTTGGGCTACTGCCAAGTTTCCGGTCTGACGCAGCAGGTAGTATTAGACGGTACGTGTATTCGGTCCTACCTAACTCACGATATTATTGTCGCTCGTGATATTGTTCACCATGGCTCCTGATATTGTTTCGGTCGCAGACTAACCTTTTATATCTGCAGGAGGCTTCTCATCTCGCAGGATCTAGACGAGATCTGCATCACCGTGGCGGAATTCGACGATGAATACATTGAGTACATCTCAAATAAGACACCCAAAGCCCTGCCCAACGGCCAACGGGGCCAGAAAAGACAGAGGGGCCAGCAGGCGACCCGGGAGCAAGGGGGGGACGATGAGGCGAGTGAACAGGAACGGGAGGAGAAGCAGCAGAAGCTGGAGGAGGATGAGGTGGAAAGTCGAAATGATGAGCGCGACCCTTAGAGCCGGGTTCGCGACAATCAGCACGATGATGAGCCCGAACGTGACGATGACGACAGTCACGACGATGAGTACAATCACGACGATGACGATGAGCATTACGACGATGAGCATTACGACGATGAGCATCACGAGGACAGCGAAGCGACCGATGAGTATCATGAGGATAGCGAGGCGACAGATGAGGGAACGAACGAATACGCACAACACAATAACGAGAGCGACAATAACGAGAGCGACAATAACGAGAGTGACAATGACGAGAGTGACAATGCCCTTGAAGATAACGGGAACAATGGGCTTGAACGCTCTGAAGCCACTGGCAAGGCCACTTCCAACGGCCAAGGAGAGAATGATGTCCCTAGGTCTCTCGACCGCAAGAGACGGGCACCAGGTTTCCTCACAATGAGGCAATTTGAGCCTATTCGCATCACTGAGGAGACTATTGGAGACATCATGGTCCTGCTATTGTCAGTCACGTTGTCACTCTGCCGCGAGCACGAACGCTACGTCGAATCGAAGCACATTGCACACTGATATTGTGCTGTTTATTGTACTGTAGAATATTTGCTTCCATAGTTTCAGCCAAATAGTTGATCCAAGTCGCCGCCACTATCCCGAAAGCAGAGGAAGACTTCAGGCAACAGTAGCCCCAGATAGACTAAATGAAAAGTCCAGTCCTTGCTTCACCTCGCTCGACAAACTGAATGGGTCATACAAATACAGTGAAGAGGGTGTGTTAGCTACAACTAATGTGGCCTCCTCGCCGCTAGCCAGAGTAACTGATCCAGACCCCTGGAATGTCACGTACCGCGTCCCTGAGCTCTTGTACACGGCGAGGGTGGCAGTGTATGCCCGGTTGGCCGTGATGCTGACGGAGACGGTGCTTCCCGAGGCACGAAGAGGGATGATACTGGCGCCCATGTAGAGCGGCTGGCGGGCGCTCTTGACCTTGTACGTGCCGGTTCCCGTCTGGTCGACATTGTTGAAGTTGATTGAGCCGCGTTGGTTGAAGAAGACCTGCTGAGCCTGGGGGTGTCCGATGTCTGCGTAGGCCATCCGTGCCCAATATTTTCCAACAATGGTAGCTACGCTCGTACTACCAGCAACACGTTGAAGGGTGTGGAATGGTGTTTCATTGCTGTTGGGAGAGTATTGGAGCATCATCTGTCGGAGTGTGTCGGAACCAAGACCGCTGTACCCATCTGGGTTATTGGTGATGTAGGTAAAGAATGGCCAAGCCTGATAATAGTTGCCAGTATTGACAGAACCATCAACGAGGACCTGGAAGGAGTCTCCAAGGACCTTTCCGAGTTCAATCTCCGTCGTGCCAGTCGGCTGGTTGTACTTGCTCCTCGACGCGCTACACAGATTGGAGGTCTTGTAGGTATCGGCAAACCAATTGGCAAAGGTCTCCCACCAGGCCCCAGTCCGTCCCTGGTCGACCCAAGTCTTCTGATGATAATGAACTCCATGGCCGAACTCGTGAACGACAACACCAGATACGGTGATGTAGTTCTGCTGCACCTCGAGCCACGCCATGCCGGTGCCAGCATCAGAATGCATCACACCCGCTGCCCCTGGGAGGGAGGCGACCGAGTAGACATTCACCTTGGTCCATGGCCCAGCATTGGACGCATCGTTGTAGGACAAGCCGGTGGACCTGAAGCCCAAAGTCGTGACGAAACAGTCATATGCGCCTTCAAGCATAGCGATCGCTTGGTCGGCAGGGCTGCCATTGTTGCCGTAGATGCGGAAGTGTGCCGAGTCTTTGTAGACACTTCCGCCTGGGCCAATGTTCGCATTCGCTGTGAAGGTTGCCGGCTCAGCTGCGACAGAGACGTCCGGAGTAGGAGCCGCCCAGGTCCTTGAGGCGGCCTGGGAGAGGATGACAAGTGTGACTGAAAGGGAGGGAAACATGGTGAAGGATAACCAGGTCAGCTATTCAGTGATGAGAGGCTTCAACAACCGGCGAAGGCTGAGTGGAATTAGCTTGCTAGATTTATTCCCAAGTTCATCGGAAGGACATTTATATGTCACCATATACACAAGGATGGTCGATAACCGTTAAAGACTTCCGGATCCTGCCAACACATGCGCCAATCCCATGATACCAAAGCAGCATTTAGTTGTTCCCATCCGAATAATCGCTCGAATCAGATCTAGCCAAGACTCTAGGGATGCCTGCTCTTTACATAACTCTGATACAATGGAGGAGTGCCGGAGCATGCTACCGCGGATCACACTGACAATCGACCATTTTGAGAACAGCCCTGGAGCCGGCGGTGAGCCCGATTGGCACCGGCAGCCGATCCCGATCAGTGGGATTATCTATGGTAACTTTAAAAAGTCTATCATTCTCTGTCGATAGCGCGATTAATTGACACGCTCTCAGGGATGTAACTTCGGACATTTTATACGCTCTCGTCGAAAGGTCGAAAGGTTCCGTTGCCATTCACGCTTACTGGCCTACCCTATACCCCGGGCATTCGCTGGGCGCGACAATCTCAATCACTTTCAGGCGCGATATTTCGCAACATTTGAGACATTTATGCTCTCCCATGCCATCTCTCCAAGACTTCGTATTCAGATGAGATAAAATTTCGTGTTTGTGTGCTTTGATACGTGGAAATCAAAGCATCTAGGCCAGGGTGCGTATCGGGATGTGGTGGTGACAACAACTGACATCTCAAATAGGAGGATCGGAGAATGCTACTGATAAAGTCTGTCCGGGAATGGAAGGTCATTAATTCTCTAACAGGCGAGCGAATCACTACTACGCTGCATTGAGCAGGTTCAACACAATCACGGAGGGCTGCCCGGTAATGATCTAATACGTGCTGAGGGCCTGAGATCACATTCCACTGGTCATGCATTGAAACCGGCTCGAGAGTATGCTTAGATTGCATCAGCAATCGCCAGGGTGGCATAATCTATTGTTGTTTACACAAGTGTGTTCACCCCTGAGTGAGTCCCGTGTGCAGCGTAGTGCTGCCACTGTGCGTTTTCGTCTAAATTATATTGGGTATCATAGTATAAATAACATCTCACACTGTTGATTAAATTACGTCTCCCATTTCACCATCCTCCCTGCAAGTGGCCTAATCAAGTAGCCAATCCAATACCGCGCTCAAGGACTTGGGCCAGCTGGTTTCCCGCTGAATAAGCCCCCCCGATCCAATCACGAAGTTCTCGATCTCGAACTGAGTCATGCCACATCCTTTGGCTTGGCTTGGCTGTCGCTCCTTTCCTCGCCGGTCGACGGGGCAGGGAGTGATCCCATCGTGGTCGCGGAGTCGCGATCCCGGACGCTGTTGACAGGGAGCAATCCCCAGTGCCCCAGCTCCGTACCCTGATTGTCTTAACGGTGAGAATCTAGCTCAGTCGAGACTCTTGAGCTGGTTGGGAATTATGGTTAAACTGTCTGGGCTTGGACGTTTCATTTGCCACCAGCGTTGTACCTCATTCTTCGTTTGTGGGTTCGAAATTGCAAATGCCGTCTGCCGATTTATTTGCAACTTCCTCTCAAATCGGTCTTTTGCTTTGGCGAAAGCAGTGATTGATCGCAGGGTGTGCGTTTGACCACGGCACAGAAATTCGTAAATTCCGGCGTGTCGGCGAGGATGAAAGTAGACGTCTCTGCGACATGAGGAAAGATGATATGCGGATTTTGATATATCAACGCACACACTTCGTGTCGAAGAGGATGTTCAAATACTGGAGGTAATTCTCGCTCGGTGAATGTGTAGTCGATTGTCATTGCTGAAGATTGCTGGTGACTGGGACTGTAATTGCAAGCCTGACGTCGTGGAGGAGAGTAACGTGATCTGGCTCCGTCAAGGTCTTTCTAACTTGGCAGTCAAATGCCCCCATTAGGTGAATCAACCAGAGCAAAATGGTTGAAGGAAAGGGAACGCCTTTCCAACCTTCTCCCCCCACCGCCAATTGTTGGGGTTCTGAAGATGCGCCTCAAATACTGGATGCAGCAGCATGGTCTGTTTGTCGGGAGACTCGATAAAGGCGGTTGAGTCTTCGTACGGCCAGCTCACAGTCAGCGAGGCCCCAGACAGCTCTCTCAACTCCTCAAACCGGCCCCAGTCCATATCTTTGATGATGGCATTTCGCGCTTCAGGCCATACAATGACGTCTATCCATGCTGGATGGGGTACCTTGAGCTGTAGCTCCGTCGGTCGTAGCATCACGGGCATTTTTTCGTACGTCTCCTTGGAGCGACAGACCAGCCAGCGAATCAAGTGTGAGAGCGTATACATGAACCCAATCCGCTCAGCGAGGGTCTTGACGGTCGAACGAAAAACTTGAGCTGCAACAGCGTTGGAAAAAGATCGAGCCCAGTCGCGTTCCAGGTCATCCGGGCGATTTAGTAGAGAGCTGATACTGGGAAAGACGGATGCGCTGAATTCGGCCTGTTTTCCGGACTTTTGATACCGAGAGTTCCACGCCTCGGTGATATTCTTGATAACTTCATCGAGTTTCGTCGTGGGAGCCAAATGGGGAGGCACTCTTTGCCAGTCGGGAACGAAACTAGGCGTCAGAGACTTTTCGTCTGCCGCCAGGCTTGTACTCGTAGGGCTCTGGGATATGGTGGTACTGTCGCTCAGCTTCCTGGAACTGAAATCTCCAAAGCCATCGCCGAGACCCAAGTCCAGAAGCCTTATGTCCTGACTGGGGCTGATTGTGTTGATCGTGATGCCCGTACCAAACTCCAGAGGCAGGCTGTAAAGAGCCCTTTGGCCGGTGGGAGCTGCTCGCGCCGTGTGCACGCCCGCAGAGAGCTCGCTGTGCTCGAGATCCAAGGACGGTGGCGGCGAGAGCGTCGTTGACCAGTACGGCCCCGGTGCCCCCTTGCCACTGCTCGCCTTCTCACTTTCGTAATGGTCGATGAGTTGCTCAGCCTCGCGGAGCCGGCCAGTGAGCTCCAGAATCTTCTGCTCCAGGGACCGGATGTAGGCCTTGTTCTTCGCCCGGTGGTGCCGCTGGTTGTCGCGGTCAATGGCGCGCTTCTTCTCGGCCTGCTCGGCAGTCAGATTCGAGATGCGGCGAGCAGCGTTGACGCTGCTCATGGCAGAGCTGCTGTCCGACGATCGCCTCTCCATCTGAGAAGCCGACGGGCAATGGGAGTCAATTAAATGGGTTCGTCCGCGCTGAGTGTCCTTCTGAGCTCCTGAGAGCCGTCAAGAAGTCAGGCAAAGGATGTCAAACGTGTCATGTTAGCAAGCGATGTGGGCGGCTCCCTCGACTCTGTGTATTTAAGGATGGGCGGTGCGATCTCTCCACTTTTTGGGCAATGATGGCATGCTTGTGCGTGCGAATGACACCATCGCCAATCTGATGCTGTGTCATGTTAGTGGTCCCACCCGGCGAGCAGGCTGTTCCGATGGCTGAACGCGATGGGAAGCCCGGTGAGTGCTCTTCTCGTGAGCCAGTCATCAATCTGGTATTATGATCCGGGAAGTCTGGCGTCGGGGGAGAAGGCTTCATGATGGAGGTGAAGAAAGAGGTTGGTCTTGTATGGCTCATCACCGACATTAGGATGGCCTTGTCTCACCGGCTCTCGCCATTTGACTCACACTACCCCGCCCTTGCCAAAGCACATCATTAGTGAGCCAATTGACACAAGGTGCCCAATCTCCAAGTGGCAGTTGAGAGCTGAGCCTTGCTTTGCGCGATGCCTGCCTTCTCGACCGGCTACTTATTCAATTGGCCAACGTAACCAAAAAGCTAATTCTGCTATGCCTTGGATTAGACTTTGGAGTCTTGGACTCTCACTTCATTAAGCAAGCTTCACTGACCACAGTAGTAACCGTGGGTGCGCGATGTGAGATTGCATCATCTCCATGATACTCACGCAAGGGGGCGCAGGCTGGCAATTGTCAGGAGAAAGAAGGTTGCTACCTACAACCAGACCGGCACCGACAGAGTTTTGTAGTTGAAGTTTGGATGAGTTAGAAGAAAATATGATAATGGTATTGCCCCATTCATTTTCACCTTGCTGGACACTCCACTCCCCCGTGCTTATTTTTCCTGGTGGGCTTGCTGGAAGCTAACCAGCGATTAAATGAGTGTCCTGATCCTCCAAATCCTTGCATGACAAGTGTTGTTCGCAGTTGTTCATGCAATTATCCAAACTTGCCACCCTACGCTGGCATCAATCCCCACGTCCTCATTGCCGTATTACCATATGATCCAGGCCGAAGCTGTGGGTAAATAGATCAGGCAACGGCTCGATCCGGTTCTGTCGGCATTTGAGTGGTCCCTGCATCGGGATCGAGGAGATCAGGCGAGATGGCTAAAGATGCCACATGTTGCATCGTGCTTAAAACCACCAAGATCCAATTTTGAGTGGATAAGGCTTCTCAATTCTCTCTTCTCGGGCCTGAATGGCCAACAGTTGACCGATCAAAGCTCATGATAGGGGAAGGCTGCAGCTTGCAGGTTTTGACTACCGACTGCAAGGGTCGCCCAATCGCGCTGTTTTAATTAGAAATCAGCGGCGAAATCCGTGACATGCATGGATACTGTCCCCAAATGAGCAGGTGCTGTAGCACAATTGCCGGGAGTTTCGGTAATGGACCTGTCAGCGGCCAACTTGGCATATTTGACCCAACAGACGCGTCGTCAGAGTAAACAGACATAACATTCAGTCTGCCAGGTGTCTGGTGGATGGTTAAGACTTATATTCGACAGGCGTAAATTTATATTGCAGATAATGCGGCGAAAATGAGGGACAATATCGACCTATGTGCGTATTTGTGCGTATATACCCCTGTCCGGTTCCTGAGCACGGTGCACGTTGCCACAATGTCTGCAATGCAAGCACTTCGCTAATTACGTCTCTTCCGTTCCTGAAATGGATTGCCGCTCCTGATCAAGTTAGTTGACCAAGATCTTGCCAGGAACATCTCGGCACCGAGAGTGTTTGACAGGTGGTGGCCATGCGTGATGAAGCGAACATCCTGGCTCTTGTGAAAGCTACAAAACTCCTTGCTGAGAAAATGTAGCATGTATGAGACCGTTCTGCCCTTGGTTTGCCACCATATGCCGTGGATTTCAGGTCAACTAGCGTTGAAAACGGGCTTACCGAGTATCAGATATGTCTGCGAACGGACCCTGGGCACATGGGGCAAGGATTCTTAATTTTACCTTTGACCAAGAAAAGAGCCAACGCGCGAAGGAATTCTGAGTCAGATTTTAGCTGTGTTATGCTTATTTTGCCTTGGAATGGAATATATATATGTTGGATAGCCATTGACTATCGTGAAAGTTGTTCTTTCTATTGCTCTAGGAACTAAAAGTCTCAATCACCAGACCGATACAGCAACCATGGTCCTGTCCAGCACTCTTCTGCTTTGCGCAGCTGCGCCAGCTGTGATGGCTTTGTCACTCGGCAAACGCCAAGCTGCAGGAGCCTACTCACTGCCGAGCTCAAGCGCCAACTCAACCGCGCGAGCAGCAGCTCTCAGCGTCAAGCGGGCTGGTTGGGAGTATGGTCCGTTCATGGACACAGCTGCGCCGTTCTATCCCAAGGGAGAGCTGGCTGATGCTGTCACTTTCCAAGTGAGGCATGAGTAAGTTTGAGAAACATATCGGAAACAGCTACCGGATGGCCAAGGACTGACTTGTGTAACTAGCTGGAACACCACTCAGCAGGACCCTCAAAGTGCAAAGTCGTCGGCTGATGCCCAGGCCAATATGGTTTCCATTGTCTCCGTAAGTTGTGCATCGTTTCTACAGTCTAAGTTAGGCCTTTACTGACTAAAAATAGACGGGCGGTCTTACAACGCTGGAAGATTACAATAAGCTGTACGACAATTCATGGACCGCTTCCGCACCTAACGGACCTTGGAAGGGCATGTTGCAAAACTACACGAGCGACTTGCTCTTCGGTATGGAGCGTCTCTCCACCAGCCCCTACAGCGTCAAGAGACTGCAGCCTACCGACAGCCTGCCCTTCACTGTCGATAACGCTGCAAGCATCAGTGGACAGTCTTTGAATGATTTGCTGGCAGGCAATCGTCTGTTCCTCGTGGACTACTCTAGCTTCAAGGACCTGCCTCTGTCTGCGGGCAAATACGCTGCCGCTTGCCAGGCCTACTTCTACATCCATCCTGAGAGCGGCGACTTCCTCCCTCTGGCGATCAAGACTAACGTGGGCTCCGATTTGACCTACACTCCCGAAGACAGCGAGAACGACTGGCTTCTGGCAAAGATGCTCTTCAACATCAATGATGGTTTCAACCAGGAGTTTGAGCATTTCGCAGCATCCCACTGGGTTGCTGAGATTGCTTACCTGGCCGCTATCCGAACTCTTAGCGAGGAACACCCTATTATGCCCATTGTCCACAGGTGTGAGTATTTGCATGAATTCCACTTGATAGGAAATTGTTGTCAGCTAACCTCTAAAAGTGATGAAGTTGGCTTGGGCGATGCGTCCTGCTGCCGCCGAGAGACTCCTTTTCACCGGTGGTCCCGTTGAACGGCTGTATCCCTGGACCGGTGGTCTGGCCCTTAAATACGCTACTGATCTCTACCTGTCTGGAGTCTCCGGCTCTTTCACTGGAGGTTACTTCGAAACTGATCTCGAGAAGCGCGGCCTCCTCGGCAAGGACGGTGTTCCCAAGTTTAAGACTTTCCCTTACTATGATGATGCCTCCGTTATCGTGTCGAGCATCCAGGGCTTCATGAGCACCCTGGTTGATTCGTACTACTCTGATGACAAGGCAATTCAACAAGACATTGAGCTTCAAGCATGGATCTCAGAGGCTACTGAGGCTGAGATTATCGACTTCCCTGCCTCGCCACTCGGCACCAAGAAGGATCTCGTCAAGCTTTTGAGTCACATCGCCTACCTCGTCTCCGTCAAGCACGGCGTGTCAAATACCAACAGTGTTGTCGCCACCTTGTCCCTGCCATTCCACCCATTTGCCCTGTGGGCTCCTCTCCCCACCGAGAAGGGAGTGACCAACGTGGTGCCCTTCCTCCCCGGCGTGGAGGCATCCGTCGGACAGCTCCTGCTCGAGGTTTCATTCAACCGACCTACCTGGGTCAACTCAGAGGAGAACATCATCCACATGTTCGCCGACTCTGACGTTCTGGGCAAGATGGACACCAAGGTGCAGGGCGCCGCCACCAAGTTTGCCAGCGAGATGACTGCTTTCAGCGGAAAGGTTGCCTCGCGCACCTTCGACAAGGACGGGCTCTCTCAGGGAATGCCTTTTGTCTGGCAGGCTCTAGACCCTAACCAGGCTGGATACTGGCTTGCTGTTTAGAAGTTCCTTGATTTGATGGTTAAAAGTGTAATAATACTGATTGGTAGTTCGGTTATTTGAGTGTACATCATAGAGTAGACAGCTATTTTCTTAGAATAATTTTTCTCAGAGTCTCTCGACTTACAAATCAATGTCCCCTATCCCAGTGCCGCAGATGCTTTCACGTGAAATAGGTTCCGGGATATGCACAGAGCCTTGCATGACCACCAATCCTTTGTCGAAAGCTTTCATTCATTACATTTTATTAGCTACAAGATAAATGACTGCTACAATGTTCGTTTAATTGGTGGTCAGATCATAAGATTGGCTAAATGAGGTTGTTGCACTCCATAGGGAGGACTTATTCATTCATTCAAGCACTTGTAGTGTTATCACAGAGATGCATGTCATTTAATAATAATGTACTCTGCTGGGCTAAATCGCAGAATCGCAATGGATGTCTATTTCTCTAACAAGACCAAGCTCCCATGCCTAAACAGGCATCCCTAGATGCTCAGGTGAGCCTCATGGCATGACAAGGGAAGCCCATCTTTGATGAGTCTCATCTCTAGCTGACGTCCTCTGATTATGATGTGTTCGGATCAGCGAATGTCAAACAGCTCAAAGGCTGACCACAACCTTCTGCGCAGAAACGCCCTTGAAGAGGTGGTCAATAGCCCCCTGAATACTCTCGAGGCCCTTGCCAAAAACAAACGGCGTTGGAGCGGGGCTATAGGCACCGCTCTTGAGTGCCTGCGGCAGGAACCCTTCAAAAACAGCCTTGGCGCTGGGCGTGCTGTTCAGAGCAGGGGCATAAATCTTCTTGGCATACACGCCCTCGGGTGGGTTGAGTTCGCCTGGGAACACTGTGGCAACTCTCTTCGCACCCTGTGACTTGTCTGCGAGCTCAAAGCAGTGCTGGTAGGCATCCTTTCCTACGGCGTCAAGCACACCAGCAACCTCCCTCCCTGCGACGGCAGCGAGGATGTCGGCGATAACTGTGGGACTCTTGTAGTCAAAGACATGGGCTGCTCCAAGCTTTTTGACCAAATCAAAGTTGGCAGGAGATGCAGTGGCAATGGCCTCGTAGCCCGCATGGCGCAGGAGCTGGATCGCATTGCATCCAACACTGCTGGCGCCTCCCCAGACTAACACGACTTTGCCGGTAGAATCTTGTGCTGGAAGCTTGGGAAGTTGGAGACCGAGCCACTCAGGGAGGAAGAGGGCCGAGGAGGCGGTTGAGACGCCGAGAGGGAGAACGACAGCAGTTTCGAATGACATGTCATCCGGGATTTCGGCGGCGGTGTCCACACTCACGACGGTGTAAGCCTGGAAACCAGCCCCCTCTGTGTTGCCAGTAGAGAAAGCCGATGCCGTGGCAAGAACCCGATCACCCTTCTTGAAATGAGTCACATTGGGCCCGACTTCGACAACCTCACCTGCAATATCCTCTCCGAGGATGGTTGGATAGGAAAGAGGATAGACTGCCAATTTCTGAAGCTTGGCGTTGATTGGGTTCATTGCGAGGGCGTGATTTTTGACGAGGACTTGGTTCTCCCCAGGGGCACCCAATGTCGATTCCTTGACACTGAAAGGGTACGCCTTCGCGGCGTCAAGCCAAGCTGCGGTGTTGGTAGCCATTATGAGAGTGTTGAAATTTGATTCAGATGGATGCTGCTGAAGATTTGGATGTAGGAGTTAGCTTGAGATAGATCGATTCTGCCTTCAACCGAGAGGATCAAGTCTAGATTTTATACTCTTGGGACATCTAGACCGGCCGACTTGGTGTAAGTTTCGAAGCATCTTACAAACTCAAAGGAAGTGGAGTCATCGCGGTACACTAACCCAAAGGGATAGGATGGCGTCTGATCCGGGTGGCATTTACAGGGACCATTAACGCTTCCATTTCTGTTAGAGGATGGGCAAACGGGGTTTTCGATTTCCGAGCTGTCTTTAACCCCGTGAATAAAGATACTGCGCCATTCTGTCTTGTAAGCCGGATTTCGGGATTTCCAGAACAAGCTAGCCTTGAGCGCTTGATGATGACCATTGCGATTCTCACCTTCACAGAAGCCTGATATCGCAAAGCTGTAGTTGGATTTGAGTACACGTATCAATTGCACATTTCCGCAAGAATTATTAGAGGCTTATCAAAAGCTATTAACCCAAATCTATTATTATTTCCCTCTATTCAATAAATCCCGACCAAATAATTATACAGGCGCACGTCAAATGATGTCTATCAATGTTGTCAACCTATCAACAGAAGTTAGCAAGGAGCAAGTCAAGACTAGCCGTAAGAACCCACTGTTGCAAGCACTGTCGCCATCCCTATGCCCATCTCAGATCCAATCCACCGTAGGCATCTGCGGAAGTAGTTACGGATTGCCTGGGGAAGATAGCTCGTCTGGCACGCCGTGTACATAGGATACATGAGTAGAAACCCGCCAAGAAACCGCCCGGGATGTTTTATATCTGAAGCGGTATCTTTTTCCATCAAACTTGTCTGGGGGTTGTCCGCAAGATGGAATAGGACAGATCCAGCCATGTCTTCAGCTATCTGGGTTCCCCGGTTGATGAATTGCTGTATGCACTGATTCCCGTCTCCCAAATTGGATGAGAGGTCTATTATCATAGAAATGAGTAACAGTCTCGCCCCTCGAAAGGTGTTCCAAACTCCAGACACGTAGAGATCGAAATAGGAATCCACCTTTCCCGGCCACCTCCCTACTGCAGGCTCACCAGAATTTGCAGCAGGGGTGATATGGCCAGCCGTGGAGGGTCGGAACTCAGAGCTCCGCGAAGACTCCCAATCCTTGAAGCGGTCTTCTAACTCTATTGCTTCCTCTATGAGCAATCTCAGTTGGTCAAGAGACTGGCATGTATTGACCCTCTCGGATAGGATGTGGAAATCGACTAATAAGCTATCAAATGAACCCCCAGTATTCAAGGCTGGGGGCGAGAAAACACCAAGAAACTGAATAGTTAGCTCAAGCACACTGGTGGAAAGAACAACGAATGTTTAGGGAGAAGCCTTTGACACAGGAACGATATTGAGGCCTACCTTGTTATCCGGATTAAACGTTAATGAACCGGCCGACTTTCCGAGGCTTACCAAGGCCAGAAATCCGTCGGCGTGGGCGTCTATTGATGAATAATTCGTATCGTCTGCCATTATCATCTAGAGCCTCCATTTAGACTTCCATTTCTAGGGATGGAGTGTGCCAGTTGCAAGGGAAATGGAATACCTGATACAGCCCAAGTAACATGACGACTCGTTTGAGCTCGGCTGCATTATTAGCGTTGGAGTATGCAATTATCTTGGCTAAAGACGTGAGAATTTCTTGGTGCGCTCTCTCGCCTTGGGAAATAAAGGCTGGTCTATTCAACCCCTTCCCACGACTAGCAAATGAAACAGCTCGACAGGCCTTGACAAGGTCAGAATTAAATCCAACCTGCCGAAATAAGGCGTCCAGATCAGGGAGGTAGCTGCGAGAGAGGTTCTGATTAGTCGACACCATGCCGTAGTCGAAGAGGAAACACCGGAATCCAAGCATCTCGCTTTCAGCTTGGGATGTCTCCAAGGGGATTGAATCATCCGGGAGTATGTTAGTGCCAGGCAGGGGAACCCGTTTGGGTAATGAGCACTGCCGGGCCCAGGACATGATTGTGGGTTGTGGAGTTGGGCCCTGCACCTCATACTGTCGATATATCATCTTGTCTCCGTGCTCATATCCACCGCAAGGGCGGTTCGCCTTGATACACCGCATGCATGACTAGAAAACAAGGTTAGCGTTGCGCGAGTCTAGAGCCACAGAAGGTTCCATGATGGAATCTCAGCCTTCGACGACACAGAACCTCCAGAATCAAGCGTTACATACCGGACGTCCTTCATCACACTGAAATCACAAGTATTAGCACTTCTACAGTCAAATAGTTCGAATATAAGATGGCTTCGCGTATTAAGTCATACAAACCTTTTTCCGCCGCACCCGGCACGAGTTGCATCCTTTGGACGGGCCGTGGTACACCATTAGAATGAAGAATCTCGTGCTTATCAATCTTGCTGATGTGGGATGTTTCGGGGGCCGCTATATGACGCGAAAGGTTCTGCGCCAAGGATCAGGGGGACCGTATCTTGTGGCAAAGGCAGGTCGAGAAACCCACGATGCCCGGTGTGGAAAACAGTACAACAGATGAGATGGGCTGATGATGTAGGGGCGGAGTGTCAACGGGAGGAGTGGAAATGCAATCGGGACGAAGAGGCTGGATCTCCGAGGATGCTCCCGAGTGGCATCAGACTTGATCAGATACGGTTAGTCTTGCGCTTCAGCTCCGTCTTATGACAGGGGTTCGGATCTGGGTCTCGGTTCTCGACTGTGTGACAAAGAACCCGGAATAGATACATATACTGCGTAAGTAATGAAGGCAACAAATGATCCTCTTGGAGATTAAAAGAAGTGTAGGCTTCTATGGAACTTGATTGACATGTACATAGTCTAGTGTGCCCTATGACTCTGCTTCACTGTCGAATTATTTAGGTACATATGAGGCACAAGGTTTCAGAGTGCGAGTACTATACCCATTTCATGCTCTAATAATATCGCCCTTAATATGTTAAATTTTCTATTATGTCAAATATGAATAACCTTCTTCTCATGGGTATCTCAAAACTCATCTCAAAATGATGTCGAGAGATAGAGAATGGCGGAAGCCCTCAAATATTCTTGCAACACTCGTTGCCTCACGTCTCTCTGCTTCGGTTGGAGGCCATAAGCTATCATGCTATTCACAACATAAATTACCCCTCATATGTTAACTATTTCACGCATTGTTGCAAATACCGTCACATTTCCTTGAAGCTCATGCTGTGGACTAGTGTTCTTTGTTATTGATGCCTCTCCCCAGAAGGGTTCTTAGTAAGCTCTTGGTACCATCTTAGAAAATCACTTTCTCGTACTTATAAAGAAAATGTCTTTCGGTGTGCGTACAAGAGGTTCTCAAATAATTACACATTTCCTTTGGTTTCTCTGACCAGTACTATTGTGAACGTGCCGGCAACCCTGGTGTTCTATGAGGCGAACGTGAGAGAAAGTAATAAATATTAAGAGCAAAGCAAAACAAAGAAATAAGAAAGGAAAAGAAAAGAGAATAGATGAAAGACAAGACATAGGTAGAGCGCATGTCTAGTCAAACTTTGAGATCGGGATAAATGAAGTTATTCGCTTGCTCACACAGTCCAGTCTAATCTTGACGTTGGTGTTCCAGGTACCTGTCTTATCAAATTGAAGCAGAAATTTCCATGCACCAGCTGAAGTCGGATAAAATTATAATCTAGCTACAAGTTGACGAATGATTATTTCCATATGAACAGGATTTCAATGCAAGTCCTCAGGCTTCACAATTACCCAATTTTTATCTGCCGTGACTTCCAATCCCTCCTTTTTCTGGGCCTCTGTATATTCTTGAATCATCCCATTTAATTCATTCATCGCACTCTCTTTGCGGTTCACCCACAGATGAATGCCCCCTCGAGCGACATCAACACCATGGAATAGCATCGGTCCATCGCTGTCCGGGGTATCACCACCGACAAGAATAGGCTTCTTCCATTCATCAATATACGTGAGGATGGCAGCCCACTTGCCCGCCTTCCAGGTCGCTGGCGTCCACAGGAATGGAGTCATCACCGAGTCCAGGTTCAAAGTCTCATCATAGTCGCCTTCTGTAATTTGTTTCCGGGCAGTGGTAAGGCCGCCCGTGGCATTCTTCATAAGCAGAGTCACCCCGATGACGTTCTCAGGCTTGACATTGTAGCCATACTTTGGGTCTGATGCCACCATACGGACAAGCTCTTCGGAGGCAGCGCTGACCACGTAGACCTCGATCCCGTTCGCCATCAGCTTATTGTACAGCTCCACCTGACCTGCGAAGACCTTTGGCGGCGAAATCTGTGTAGACACCACTTCATCACCGTCAAAGTATTTTGCGGGGACAGTGCTGTTGAGCGACATGAGCTCATCAACGTAGCCTTTGAGTTTCCGCAGCGAGACGCCGCTGAAGATTTGCGCAACCCAGGGGTAGCAGACCGCGTCATCCAGTTCGCAAAGGCGGTAATAGTAGCTGTACAGTGACTCCGTGTGGTTGCTGCTGTCCTTGAACGGGATCAGCTTCAACGATGGGTCCATGGTGTCTCGAGTGAGGATGCCCTTGTTTTCGAGGAAGGGCAGAAGCGACTCCTCCAAATCAAACTGATAGCTCGTATTGTCCATGTCGAATGCGGCGTAACGCCCTGCATGAGCGTTCTTAGCAATCATCTCGTTGAGAGACCGGGCTGCATCCGCGGGCCAATGCTTGAGTTGAGGGCCAGCGACATCGTTCTTGGGTGCAGCAAGGGCCGAAGGGGCCAGGAGCGACAGAGCCGCCGCGAAGGCATCTGCGTGGACTCTCATTCTGAGGCGATGAGGTTTCCTTTAGATCACGGTTAGTCGGGAAACTATCTTCAGCGAGTTCCAAGTGGCGGTGCGCACCCTTAAGATCCCAATCTGAAAACAGGGTTGCAATCATGATGAGCGAAAATCCGGGGGTTGGTGACCCTTTTAGCAGGTTTCAGAACTTTGCCCTTCCCACAACGATCTTGGCTTCTGGTGAGACACCCATGTACTTTGAGTAAAAAAGGCGCAGCTGTGTGGTATAAACTACGTTGATAAAGGTGCAGATAAACCGATAAAAAACTGCCATGTAATATGATGTAATGAATGTCATCAAGTTCGTTTAACACACGATCACTTGCCTTTTTCAGCTAACCGAAATTGAATTCTTCAACGACCCTTGCTCCGGCAAACGGAATGTGGACACTGCGTACGTACTTTACTGAATGCCAAGCTAGAGTAACTCGGGTAATGATTCGTCTGAGGCTCTGAACAAGTAAAGAATTGATTGATCGCTTATATGTGTTATCAAGTGTTAGTTGCCCGGCTCGTGTCGACGCCATTCCCAATCTTGGGGTTTATCAATTGAGAGGTATATTTAGCATCACAATCGCCCGGTTGGCGTTAATATCACTATTCTTTTATCGTATTACTCTACTAAACAGTAAATAAGGATATTAGCAATGAACGGTAATGCGGTCGTTCCGAGTACAAACAAAATCATGGAGAATTTCATCCCGTCGAACATGGCAGAGCCTTTATCATTCTGAAGGGCATTGCCATTAAGTAATGGCTAACAGGCTGTGACAGGTCTCATCAACGTCTAGGTCTGCATTAAGAAATGGCGAAGAGAACAGAGACTCACAGATACTTACACAAAGTTTCATCTTGTATCAGTCACGGCTCTTCAGGCGATAGATCATAAGGCGGGTCATAAAAGCTCAGCAAAGGATCGAATAGAACATCTTTTTGACCCATGACTGAGTCTCAACGCAGCGAAGGTTTGCACGCTGTTGGCATTGGAGTTGCAATCCCTCGTTATGCTAAATTCAACATTAGTTCACCTACAATGATTCATGGAACCCCGATCTGTCAACAATTCCTTCAGTCAAAAACGCTACAGTCTCATGACAATTCGTTCACGTGTTCACATTCAATGCCCGTGGCGGATGAGTTGTGAATATCTGTCCATGTTGTTCCTAGCGCCACCTTTCTTGAAGTAAACTTATAGCGCCTGCAGGTCGGTTTACTAGTTCAGCTCATAAATACGTAGATTTCTTAACTCCCTATCCTTTGATTTCTATACGCTTACTTAGTCTTAGAGTTACACTGTGGTACACCACTCTGTAGAAATATAGCATCTTATTCAAGTTGAAAAGTCGCTGTCGTCTAATCTTGCCGGGTGAGTGGCCTCAGGCTTTGTTTGTTACCTCCTTCACAAACTTCCGGGAGAGTTTCAAACGCGGGCCTTCCAGCCAAGACTCTGCATTCCTTTTGACCAGGCAGTACTCCATTTCCGCCTCGAGAGGTCCATTTGAGAAGAATGTCTGACTGATAATTGGCTGTTCCACATCACCAACATTGCCATCTTGACTGCCATTGTTCTCGTTATCTTCTTCATCCTCTTCATCCTCTTTGTTGTCGTCATCATCGTGCCGGTCTGCCTCGTCTTCAATATCATCCCACTCGTCTTCCGCAAACTCATAACTCGTAGCATTTTCAAAGGGCTCAAAAATTGGTTCATCACCCGGCTTCGGCTTCCACAGCTGTTGTCCCGTCATGCCGGGAACTTCCCACAACCCTTCCGACGAGAGAGCCATCATGGCGGCTTGGTTGTAGTCCGTACGGATGATATCATCCTCAGATTCGAGATGCTTAGATTCGAGATGCGTAAGAGCCCACCTGAAGTCCTCCTTTTTCCCGCTCTTCTCCCAAATAAGGCTGAGCTGGGATCGCAACGCTTCATCCACGGCATTCGAGAAAGCCATTTGACTTTTCACCCTGTCTCGGTTCAGAGGCGAATCCTGTAGGTCATATGGGAAGCCTTCCTGGTATATAAAGCCATGCATGAGGAAAAGCATCATGCGAGCCGCCAGAAACTGGCCATTCGGAGCTCCTGCGGACAGCGCCTCAATGGTCTTCAGCAGGGCCTTCCACCCTTCAAGGAGGGCCTTGTCTGCCTCGACGATCGCATTCCGGGGCGGGTCTTTGTTCCGTTTGTACTGCTGGAGTGTGCAAATAGCCAGGTAGAGACGTTGCAGGAGGCTGCGTAATTGATCGTTGGTAGCTGCTACGTCTTTGTTGCTTCTGATGTTTTCAATCCCCCTGAGTATGTCTTCCGCCTCCGAAACTGTCTCATCGACCACTGCTTTCTCCCTTTTCGAAGCCATGCTCTTTCGATGTTCCTTTGTTGAGCACCAGCTAGTCGGTGTAGAATCAAGTCTTTGTCCCTTTTATTACCGCCTCTCCGAATGCAACCATGCAGATTTCTAATCTTACTGCTAATTTTGCAACCCACTATGCCAAGCCTCTGCTTATGCCCGATACCCAGTAGCACCATTAGGGAAATATATGATGTTCTCGGGTTAACCCCATTGAATCTTAGCAGCCACATAAAATACGTACTTCTAACGGTTTCTACGAGCAACAGGCAAGCCATAGAAAGGTCAAAATCAGCGTCGTAAACTACATACAATCTGTAGGTTCCAGATAATGAACCTTAGGATCCTCCCCCCAGTCAATTCAATCCCACTGACCAAATAGACCTGAAACTATTTCCCCACAGAGCCTTCGGAACCCAACCCATAGCGTTCGAAAAGCTCAGCATCGCTCCCCTCAAAAGTCTCCATCTTTTCACCGGCCATAATTAGCTCCCTGCACTTCTCGGTTCTAGGACTGATACGGAAAGGAAATTCAGCCGGGCGGGAGATGACGCCTGGGAGAACGTTGAGCGACGGTTCAACCTCATGCCCTTCTGAATCGACTTCCTTGCTGATCTGAAACGCAGCTAGACTCTGTGCAATCGCAAGGAAAAGAAAGGAATCGGCAAAGTTCTTGCCAGGGCAAATCCTCCGCCCGAAACCAAAAACGAATTCTTTGGGGTCGGGCTCATTGTACGGGGCGTCATACCTCTCCGGTTTGAAATATGTAGGGTCGTGGTAAACGTTCGGGTCCTGGGCGAATAATCGAAGGTTCGCCTGTATAAGAGCTCCTTCTGGGATCAGATACCCCCTATATATCAAATCTTCATCGCTTCGGTGCGGCAGGCCCAATGGGACGACTGGCTGCCACCGATACATCTCTTTAACGATACCATCCACATAAGGCAAATTAGTGCGGTCATCGAAGCTCGGAAGCCTGTCGGGGCCGACAACTCTTTCAATCTCTTCGTGCGCCTTTTGAAGCACTTTCGGATACAGGATCATAGCAAGGTAAAAGAAGCTCAAAGTCGAGACCGTAGTATCTGAACCACCTCCATATAATGATGCGGCCGAGAACATGACTCTAGATTGAAACGCAGGATCCTCCGGGTCTTTGGCATGTTCTAATGCGTTGGAGACATATGATTTTCTGTGCCGGTTGTTTTCCATCTGCCGTTGTACGAACTGGAAGGGCTTCTCCGCTGCTGCTAGAACCTCACGTTTCCAAATGCGAGCTGCTCGCTTGAAACCAGCCCCAGGAAACCAGTTAGGCAGGTACTTCAGAGCAGGCGCGATATCAACCATCCAGATCCCAGGTCCTGCTATCTTATTGAAGTTTGCCATCATGCGAGTGACAAGGTCCAGAACTGGGTCACGACGAGCCGTATCGATAGAATATCCGTACGTCACTTTGATGATCGATGAGCCGGTTACACTGTAGAGAACTCATTAATACTTCTACTGTCTTCGAATGGTGGAAAGTAGGGAGTAGACTTACAGCTCTAGGTGATCGAGCAACTTGCCGGGTTCATCCAATATGAGTCGAAGCATTCGTGAGACTTCAAATTGCTGGGCCTCTCGGAATCCTTCAACTGTGGTTTTTGTGCCCACATGTTGGTGCATAAGCTTTCGATCAAGTCGGAAATTCTCACTGTATGGGAGCGAACTTGTGTAGTTTCCGAAGCCGCATCTGGATAACGAGGGTTGTGTGAGTCATCAAAGCACAGTGAGTCTTCGTACTGAATAGTATGTCTTACAATCCGAAAGCGAACTCAAGCCAAGGCCTGGAAGATGTTTTGAGAGACTTCTTGTCCAATATGTCGATAGCGATTTGTTTATCATTAAGGGTGACAATGGATTGCCCCAACACAGTCACAGAAGTGAGCGGGCCATATTTTTCTCTGTGATTCAGCCAATGCTTATATTCTGGGATTTTGCCGGTCGGCAGATCATAGATGTTCCCAAGCAGTGACAGTGGGCGAGGCCCAGGAGGAAGAGGAGTCGCTGGCCTCTGACGCCTCCGCTGTTGGAAAACAAGCAGCGATCCCAAGATCAGGGCAATTCCAACCAATAGAAGATTGCTTGTAGCTTGCATGGTAGCGTTTTGGTGTTATCAGTCAGGTGAGAGTAGACTCAGCATTCTAGTTAGATGATTATATTTTCTAGAACCGACATCTCACAGTACTCGATTGCCATGAAAAGCATTTATGATGAGACTGCGAGAAGCAAATACCCTATTATACATCGGTGCCCAAGCCAGATACACCCAACACAGGAGCATCCAGGCCGGGCCACGAAAGGTCTTAAAACTGCAGATCCAGGCTGGAATAGTATCTTACTGCATTTTAATGCCGCATGCCAACGTGCAAATACTACCCAGTCCAACAATGATGGTGGGTATCCAACCGTGTAATGCAGGTTTGTTCACTCATAACCCCCAATGCTACGGCAGCCAAGATGGGGGGATCTTAGCCAATAAAAGTTTTGGGTTTGTCACCGCATGTAAGTTCTCAAAGTGATGTGGCTATTCACGGTCACGATAAGGCTAATTACCTCTGCCGAAATATCGCTACAACGCTCTTTCTAGACTCCTCGGGGAGGAGGTTGCAGGCAGGGCTATCTTTGAAGTCAGTGTATGACCACGTTCCTTGGGATTTGACAAGCCTTGACCTCAGATCAATGCTCATATTTCATTACCATGCTTCTAATATAACTATCAGCTTCAAAAGCTACTGCAGAGTCGAAGTAGTTATTGCCGCATGCCGTGACAAAACGCCTGACGATTGAATACTGGACCCGCCCTCTGCTTCTCTTGTGCATGATAGTCCTTAAATGTGACCTTCTTCATAAGTTGTCGCACGCAGCTTTTCTTCTGTTATCATGCCTTGGCTTACTCCTCGCAATCGGTGGTTACTATTCCTAAATAATCCAACCGGGTGTGCGTCTACACAATGTCAGCGGTTAGTTATATCCCTGCAAATCGTTGAGGATGAAAGGAAAGTAATTACCCTCAAATCAATAGCTTTCCCCCCGAATGGGTCACTCCAGGCAAGGATCAGCCCGGCAATTGCCTCGTGACCTTCGGCAACGGTGAGAAATCGCCAGCCATCGCCGACGTCGCTCTGAGACTTCCATAGGAACTCTCGCCCTCGATTCGTACGTAGCTTTTCCTCCAGAATTAGTACTTGCTTCTTATCTGAGACAAATTTCCAATGAGAGAGTCACTTGCCTTGAAAGCATCAAGATATGAACCCATTCGACCAGAGAGCTTAATGATACGCTCTCCACCCGGTCCATCAATTTCAAAAGTTTCAATCATGTCGTCTAGGATCGGCGTCCCATTCACCTCTGAGGATCTAGCATACACTGGATCAAGGCCACTGGCATCGTCAAAGTCTGCGCGCATATTGCCTACAGCCTTTGTGGTCTCTGTCTTCTTGGACGTAACACCTGTCCGCCTCATTCCAGTCTGCACGCTGTACACGGTAAGCCTCTTCAAAGCTTGTAGTTGAGAACGGTCATGAGCCCAGAGGAATGCTTCATGTGGAACAATGTCGTCATGAAAGTAGCCGCTTGGCTGCATTGATAAGCCCCCTTCGAAAACTCGCAAACGGAGCTGGTCATTCTCCCACAGGGGGCGCCCAAGGACGTTAAAGGCGCTTTGTGTCCAGAGAAACGTCTCTGCTAGTGGCCGATCCGGAATTTGAGGTTCCGACAGCAGTGACTTCGTAGCCAGTGTCCTGGGGCAGAGAAGAAGTCCCGCCCGAATGATTCGTGGTTTCGCTTGTTTCCCTTGGAAGATCTAACGCATATCTTAATATGAAAAAGGAAAGTGAGCCCATTTCGTGTGCGATACACTCACACCAAAGTTACCCGCCATTCCCACCACGGTCTGGCCCGGAGGAGCCAGGAGCGGTCGTTGGCAGTGGCCGACAGTAGTTTCGCCCACCGAAAGGGTGGTCCCGGTCGATGTCCGAATCTTTTCCAGTAAGCACCAGACTGTAGTTCAAGGAAAAGCACTTACCGAAATGCCCTTTGGCGCTGTGAAGGTGCCCGGTCTCTTCGGATATGTGTGTGATGCGCTTGGGGCCAAGGGGTCTATCGGTGGAATATGGAGGAGGATGCCAGCGATCCATTCGTGTTTCTGCAACTCAAGTGTCCGCCGCTGCACATCATGCTGTTTGTTGTCGAACCCGAAAAGCCTTCCCTGGCCATTGATGGTGACTTCAATACCGGCTAGGTAGCCTTCACTGTCCCAGAACGTGTCCAAAGTCTTGGGGGAATAGAGGTCGTCCCATGAGGATATCCAAAAGGAGTTGGCGAAGACTTGGTCAGAAGAGTCGGTGGGCCACGACACTATAGAAGTATAAGGAGATGATGCATTGTCTTTGATAGATTCATCAACGTCGCCCGCTGAAATGGCAATCTTCACTCGATAAGAATCGGCGATCTGCCCACAGGCGAACCATATCCGACGGCGGTTCGCTACCCCCATGTATTTACCTTTGCACCCGAATCGTGGTTCGCTCTTCAAGTTTGCCCACAGGTAGACAGCTTTCGTGCTAGAAATTCCATCTAGGAACCCGGGTAATTGGAGAACCTCATGGAGCTCGAAAAACCATTCCATTTCGTCCTTGAGTCTCCTCCTCCAGAAGTCATGGTTGTTGTGATGCGCAGAGTGAAGCACCCACGATGCCTTAAAGAGTTCCACGAGGGAGGTGTCATCAAGAGTTGAGAGAATCTGGTCTGTTATTTCGCGTGGGAGTTTAGAGAATGGGTCCGATTTCACTTTATTGCCCAGGGCTTGGTCAAGGGACGCAATGCCCGTGCCACGCTGCAGCTTTTCAATTTCTGTTATAGAGAGTGGTGCCATGCGTAACGGGGACACAACAAATAATTCTTCCCCAGGAATGCAGTCCCAGAATTGCTCAGGTGAAGGTCCGAAATTAGTGCCAGGAAAGACGTAATCGAGGTCCAAGCAAGCCGAACCGGCTAGAGAGCGCAAGACGCCGTACATCACGTCCTTGTTGATGAGACTAATGTCGTCTGAGCCTGTTAGGTATCGAGAGAGGATCTTGAAACAGTCCATGTGGAAAGGGAACACGGGCTCTTCACTGTCGTTGTAGCTGGAATAGCAGAACATAGCCTCGACTTCGACGTCTTCACAATTGGGATCATCACCCTGGTCGCAATTCATGCCTCCATAGCCATCATAGGATCCCTGCCCGGATATGAAGGCCCTGAATAATTTAGAGTGAGTCTAAATGCATATTGAAGAGATCACCCGGAATGTATCTGGAAGTGGCGGGCATACTTGCTCAAACGAGTGCAGTGAGCGTTAATCCCAAGCACACGACAGTCTTCAGTCCAATCGATATCGGCCGGCTGGAGAACTTTGGGGTCATACAGACGGCCATCGTCTGCCTCCTCCTCTTCCTTTTCTCGTTGGTCATGATTCCCTTCGATCTGGCCGTCTTCTTCTCTCACGGTCCGGGGGCCAGCGTTGGGGTCCTTTACGTAGTTCTCATGGCCGCGGATACGGACACATGTCATAGGCCCACAACAAACCATGCAGTAGCAGTCCCAGCAGCCCATCTTTTGTTTTGCGGTAAGTCAAGCGAAAAAAGCAATGACGCGTTCTGATTGAAGAGGGAAGTATCCAACGTTGTATGTGCGTGAATCGGTGAATCGTCGTGAATTTCGCGGTTAGGCAGCTATGCGCCGCCGAAGCTCAATCACGTGTTGTCTTATGCCTAAACGCCAAGACGGCCAACATGCATTAATCACATAAATTGGAATTCCAAGCCTTCTCTGGCATCGGTGCGTTTCACTGCTATTGGACAGAATTACGATTGCGATCGGGCGAACGAGTCACTGTAGTTGCTAATTTAAAGTTGAAAATACCATTGTGAAAAAGTCCTAGGGAAGTATACTGACACGGGTTTGCCACATAAGGCTTCTTAAAAGGCGAATTGATGGTGTAACTAAAAATAAACCCAATAAGAGATCTTGCCCTCAAAAGCTTCATCAAGACACATTAGAGCAATGCCAGCTTCGATAAGAAACGTGTGTGCTTTCACGTTTGGAAAGCAAGTAGGTATAGGGTAGTTAATATTGCACAGTGCCAGGCAGATGACTAATCATCATCACATTTTGGGATCCGGTCGCGTCTGCGCATCTTCACCACCACCAGAGAGGGTGAAACTGCAGCTCCGCCAACGATCTAGGCATCACCTAGGCCGTGATCTTTCTTGGGACCAATCTGAGACACTTGGAAGGTACATGACTGCCCGTTGCTCCTGTCTCCCCACTTGGGTGTAATTCGCTAACAATGGTGGTGCGGTTAGGAAAGACGGAACACGACACCGCGACTACCTCCTCCCAGGCACGATACCGTGATCGAGACTCAATGCCCTGATAGTCTTGATTTTTTTGACTCAGCTGTGGTAGCACTTCACAAGATGTCCAGTTCCATCTTGAAACCCCGATAAGCCTAATCCGCGATCGACGCCCACGATGTCTGTCCTCGATATGCAACCCCTTGCGAACGACGCTCGCCCGCGATGATAGGACCATTCCCACCAACTCTGAAGCTTGAAGGCGGCTTAAGAGTTCCTCCGTGTGGGATACGGCGCCGAACTTGACTACGATCACTATAAAGAGCGCATCATATCTGTGAGCGACGCGATATCTGCTGAAGTTATGCCGTACCTTACCTTAGTGCATGCCGAGACCGCCGTGAACGGCTACGCGACATCGAACAAATGCTACAGAGCTCTTACGATCCCTCGTGTGCCCAGTCCGCGATGTCCAGTCCGCGATGCGCAGTCCGCGATACAAAGCCTGAAATGTATACGTGCTTATTTGTGATGTTCCCTATAAGGAGTCTCCAACCGCATTCACGCTCGCCCACTCTCCATTTATGTCCCTCCAGCATCGAAACGAAAGAACACAAGGGTACATCGTTAGCCGAGAATATAACACGGCGAGACAACGTTTATAAAGTGATTTTTGAGCATCCTTCTGTTAGATGCCATGGGGAATGCAGCCAACTTGGACCAACTTGGACTGGGGGGAGGCCAGCAGATATGCGAGCTGGATTGCTTCACATCACCAGTGACGAATGCCCAGCATTGGCCGTTACATTCGTACATGGAGTCATCGTTCAGCCTTCCTCAAAGTAATCACCCGAAGGCGACACCCAAATTCGGTATGTTCCGTGAGTCTCCACGACGGTACAATGTCCCTGTAGGCGGGAGTCCCGGATCCCAAATCACACCTCGAGGCGATGCCGCTCCAGCTGAAAGACCACCCACTTCTTAGGGCGAGAGAGTAAGATGGTCTCCCCAGCCTTTGCCCCTTGCAGAGCTTGCCGCAGAAAATCATCATTCTGCCGATCAATCCAGCAGCCACCAGACGGTTGCTTGAATCAGAGCAACCGACTGTCAATGCCATTGCCCCTCTTCGCTCGTGATGAATTAATACCGCAAGTGCCGAGGAGGTCCGGGGCTGAACCAAATTAGGCACGAAATAAGAAAGACGCACATGAGACTACGCGCTCTAGCCTGGATGACACAGGGGTTTGGAATCGTCTCAAACCTCTTAGCTGTTTGGCAAAGTGGGGAGCTGAAATCTGCTGCTATCAGATCAGATCAAAGTTTTTATCTGATCATCAGATAATTCTGCTTCTCCACGGTGGCCGGTCCCGCATCAAGCTCGCACCATCCTTCATCCATCCACCCACACACCTCTTCAATGTGACCCTCTGGTTGTTCCCTGCCAACAAGAAATCACTCAATTCTGATTATCACATGTCTTGATGCTGCCTTACCATCAGAGAGGCATGTATGGGTGGGATCTACCACGCTGCACCGGTCATCTTGCCAAGTCTGTGATATCTAGTGAAGGGGGGTTGCTTCACGCGAGCTGGCGCTTACTCGATTGGTTAGCTGTCCATACTTGTTTGCAAGGGAAGCGTCTCGTGTTGTTGCCAAGCAAGGAAAATATGCATTGCCGGAAGCATAGTGCCGAAGAGAAGCACTTGAACCTGCCACACTCAATATGCTCATCAATCCGTAGCTTGCCACCCGTTATTAGGTGCTTCCCCGCAAGAGCCTTACTCGATTTTTACATAAAGAGGCTACTCGGCCTCGCTTACGCCATGTTGATTTCAATTGATGCATTCTTTTTCTTCCCGGCGCATGTGAGCGACCAGCCACGCTACAATGTTCGCGCGCTGGCACTTGGTCCTGGTGGCCTCTGTGGGCGCAGCATGGGTGGCACAGAAGGTGATTAAACTCATCATTGTGCGACGATGGTTCAAGAATCTGGTGAGTACTGATACTTAACTGATGTTACTGGAACAAGAACTGTGACTCACGGACTGCAGCCTCAACCGCCTGGCCACAATTTTCTCTCTGGCCACCTGGCGGCCATGACCGAAGCCTCGCAGGCTTTCCCGCCCGGAACACATCCACAGTACTTCTATACCTACCTGGCGCACAAGTACAAGCTCCCTGGAATTTTCTACATTGACCTCTGGCCGCTGGCCGTGCCGCAGATCGTCATCACCGATCCTGATATTGCTATGCAGGTGCTCACTGTGAACCCATTCCCAAAGCACCCGCAGATTGAGGTCTTTCTCCGACCATTCACTGGAAAAGGGAGCATAGCAGCATCGAATGGAGACCGCTGGAAGTATAACCATCGCATGGTCGGTGGCGGTTTCACTGCGAGCCACATCAAGTCCATGATAACCATGATCTCGGAGGAAGGCTTCACCTTCCACAATCGCTTCAAGGAGATGGCTGAGCGCGGGGATGCCATTGCCCTCGAGGAAGAGACCTCAAAGGCCATATTTGATGTCGTTGGGAAGATCGTATTCGGATTTTCGCTCGAGGCGCAAAAGACAGGGTCGCCTCTTCTCGAGGATCTAAGGGCGACGATTGACCCTGCCACGGCTGTCTTGTCGAGCTTTAACCCCATCGCTAGATACAAGAGCTGGCGCAAGCTGCGCGGCATTAGGAAGCGCGTTCACGACTCTCTCAGTGCTGAGATCAGGAAGCGCGGTGCTATCATGAAGGACGAGAAGGAGCTCCCGTCCCGACGCAAGGCGAAGAGTATCATGGACCGGATTATCCTTGATCGCATGCAGGATGAGCCCAACGCGCCCTTGAACCAAGCGTTTCTTGACGATGTCATCACAAAGTATGAACTTTTTCCGCGACTCGGCCACAGGGATTAAATAGCTAACATGCGTGTAGTCTCAAGGCTCTCCTCCTCGGCGGCCACGGCACCACTACCAGCACGTTCACGTTCGCCGTCATGTTCTTGAGCCTCCACCCTGACATCTTGGCTCGGTTGCGCCAAGAGCACGACGAGATCTTCGACCCGGACTTCGAAACCACCATCGAAATCATCAATTCAGATCCCTCCCGGACAAATAAGCTGGACCTTACAAATGCAGTGATCAAAGAAACCCTCCGCTTCTACCCAATCGGATTCACCATCCGCTCCGCCCCAACTGGCGTCAAGTTCATTGAGCACAATGGGAACAAATGGCCCGTAGCACACGGCGCGATGGTAATCCCCTCAGCCCACAGTACCCAAATGGACGCCTCCCTATGGAAAGACCCCAACTGCTTCAGGCCGGACCGATTCCTTGGGGAGGAGGGGGCGAGCCAGCACCGGTTTGCCTGGCGCCCCTTTGAGCGAGGTCCCAGGGCGTGCATCGCCCAGGATCTGGCCATGGACGAGCTGAGGGTGATGCTGCTCCTCGTAGTACGATGGTTTGACTTTGAGCTCGTCAACGAGACCCAGAACAAGAAGCCGCGCGTTGAGTTCATGGATCTGGACGAGAGGATTGGCGATCTGGCGTTCCAGGTTGTGGGGATGGAGGCGAAGCCGAACAAGGCAATGCGGTTCAGGGTTCGGCCCAGTGGAAGATCTTGAGCTGGATGGTTATATATCTCTGTAGCTGCCAACTATCTCGCCATCTTTAAATAATCCCAGTGCTGAAATCAGGGCCAGCTAGAGCCCTCAGGTGCCTGAGATGGATCATGAGGGAATCCCTAGGAATTAAAGAGAAGGAAGAGACTGCTAGTATTTGCTCGTTAGGCTGGGCCATATAGTGATGTATCATGATGCTATTCCAATTATCGCAACAAATGAAGACGAATCTTCCATCCATACTTATGAGATGCCTCTGGGTGATGGTGAGAAAGCCGTCAGCTAACCCTGGTAGCATCTTTCAGGGGATGAGCTCCCCAATCTTACTGCTAATTTCGCCTGCCCGAGTTGGCCAAGCCTGAAAATTCTCTGGGCTTCAATTCGTGAATTCCTTCAAAGTCTACTACGTTGTCTTCTACTTACCCTTTCTTTCTTGTACCACGTTGACATTTTGCCAAACGTCATGGCGCTCGTTCCCCCTCTTCTTCGCATAATGGCCGTTCTGGCACATTCTCTAATCCTACTCATCGTGTTCTCGCCAAGCGCTCACGCCAGCGGCGTCAAGGCACCGAGCACAATCACAGCCGGCCAGAACGCCACCATCTCAATCACCGAGACAATACCCAAAGACTCGGAGAATTGGAGTAAATACGACGGCTATCGCCTGTATCTGGCACTGACGCCGCCAGGCTGGGGCACGGGGCCGGAGTGCTGGCTTGCGAACAATCTGGATCTCAGCCCGCAGACCGTGAACATCGTTATTCCCCCAGACGTGGCGCCGAACAACACCAAGATTGAGATCGCGGATAGCTTCATCAAGAAGGGGAGCAAAAAAGAAAGCGGTTATTCCTACAGCGGCACCATCACGTTTCTTGGTGGCAATGGCACCTGGAGCCAGCGGGAGCTGAACGGACGGAGCATGACCAACGCGAACAGGTTGCCTTGCTTTCTTCTGGGGTGTGTGCGGCAATGCAATGACCGCTACTACACGGGAGAGAAATCAAGCGAGAAGGCAGCTGACGACTGTTCCGAGCAGTGTCTCAAGAACTCCGGAGAATCGTCAATGGGGCATCTATCTTTGGTCGCGCTACTGATGGGAATCGTAACTTGGAGACTTGCTCAGCTAGTATTGTAATTCATTATTCAACCTATGTAAAACTTGTATGAATCTGTAGAAGGCGAGAGGTGGTCCGATATTGACCCTGGACGGTAGAGGGCTATATATATACAATTAAGCAAATGCCTGTCACCAATCCGCTACAGCAACTGAACACAGTTGATCATCTTCCGTAGTATAGTGGTCAGTATGCAAGCTTGTCACGCTTGAGACCCGGGTTCAATTCCCGGCGGGAGAGTCCGCCACCAGCCTTAGCTGGTTTCTTTTTTTCTTTTTTTTTTTCTTTTCTTATTTGCTTTTTATTGATAATAAAATCATTTAATTCTGGAGTATTCGGTTTCTTTTGGTGATTTCAATTTTGCTTCCCCTTGTTTCGAAATCAAGACAAGAGGGGGCTGTGCTGGCATGACAGGCTAACCTCCTATTTACGATCTCTGTTACTTCCTGCCCAGGTACCTTGTGACAATAATAATTCCGATCACTGCAAAGAATCTCTATTGGGTTCAGTGCATTAAGAAAGTCACTCGTACACACTACGGCCTGCATCGAGTGGTTAAATATCACATATGTAAGACTTTGATACCTTCGGCTAATGAGGTTGTGAACATACTGTCAATAGCCCATCGCAAATTGAGGTGCGCAATGGGCTTCCTCAGCTAGATTTTGGGGTGAAATGGCTCATGTGACAGTCATACACCCAGTTGCACCCTGAAATCCCTGGCCATTCATTGGTTACACCCTGAATCCTGCGGCTTACTTACCACAAGGCACACTTGTGCGGCTGAGCAATAAAGGGAAGACCATTCCCATTGTCAGAGCACCTCAGAGTATTCCTCAACTTCTCACGCCCTGCATTGGCGCGACATGTTATCCAAAATGAGGTCCCAAGCTACCTTAGCCCTGGCTGAGTCAACTTCATCTACAGACTTGGTTCTTAGAGGAACGATACTGGACGAAAGCCAGATTCTTGCTGTCGTCAACTCTTGGGCTGGTACTCGAAAAGTCTCTGGCAGTCAGCTCGTAAGTCGGGACTACGACAAAGAAAATTACTACAATATCTCCATACCTCGCAAAACTCATAGCCCTGAAGGGGAGTCCTCGTCTCAAGCACAAGCCGACATCGATGGCCAGTCGGTCCGCATGCCCATGAGCCAATATGAATTGATGACTGCGGCTAAGGACATCTTGTCTGCTCTCGTACAATTGGAACGAAAGTGCATCTTGATCGAACAGACTTCAGGCAAATTCGCAAGGCCTAGTAATGACGCGAATAAGCCCCGACTGAGGGCTATCGGCTCTGAGCGTGATCGTCTACTAGTCAAGATTCATGACCAGCTTATTGATAACCCTCACCCGGCTGCCCGTTCTGCGCAAAAGAAACTGGCGGCGAAGTATGACATGACGCGAATGAGAAGGCGAACTAAAAGGTATGATCGGGACAATGTGCTAGAGGTAACCGAGCCTGGTGAGTTGTGCCAATTTCCAGTGAATTTACATGGACATGCTACTGACTTCAAACTCTCATTATTGTTCTACTAGAGGTGCCGAAGGAGTCACTTCATGAACCATGTCCTGAATTGGATGAGATACTCAAGATGATATTTGAGGTCTGGGAGAGACTTGATAAATACTTCGACAAGGCGCCTGATGAACCTAGTTACCCTACTATTCTGGATGAATTGTGCCTTGAATTTCCCCACGCCGTACGGCATCTATGCACAACCATGCCGTGGACGATTTGGCCAGCTCTGATAGTACTATGGGGTGTCTGTTGGATGTTCAAGCCATCCGTGACGGAACCCGTGATCTACTGTCGTATGGGCACCACATCCCCCCCAAGCCCAGGGCTGGATCTTGGCGCCTTCCAACGTAAGTGTGTTGACATTCCCCTACCATTTGTGCATTCACTAAGTCAAGTCGCTTAACTAGAGCCCTGGAGTGTTTCCGACCATCAGGATTCGTACCTGCTAGACTTCGACTCCAATCCTTCCTGGTTGGAAATTGATGGCATGGGATATGGATATGAGCCTCCGAAGATTGATGACTTCGGGCTACACAATAGTGACATGGCGAGGGAGATATTTGATCATGTTTCTGTCTCTGAGACTGGCATGCTACAAGAGTCTTTGCCGAACCACCGTCAAGGCTCCAACCAAGATGAAAACACATCATCCGAAAACTATTCTAGTGGTGAAGGAGAGAGTCAGGGACCATCGGCTTCTGAAATTTACGATGATACACCAAATCATCCTTCAAGGTAGGCATAAAGCCCAACAAGGCTCATACCCTCGTGATGCGTGGGAAATTTGAAACTGACTCGATTAATAGCATCGAAGGGGATCCCTCATTGATCTGCGAGCAATGTAAAGAGTCTTTCTCGAACGTTTTCACTCTACAGAGACATCAGGCGGAGCAACATGCTGGCGGTCCGAACAGATTCCCTTGCCCCCATCCACCTTGCAAAAGATCCCTGGCTGGGCATGCCTTTAAACGAGAAGCTCATTTGAGAAGGCATTTCGAGTCCCGCAAGCATCAATCCCCCGCTAGGAGGGTTTTAGCCAAGGTTGTGAACAGCCCAAGCTTGATCTCTAACCTGAGACCCGTCGTCTCGAGCGAGAGTAGAGAAACTTTTTCTCGCCCACCCCATGCAGATCGTTCTCAAATCACGGAAGAGAGCAAATACTCCAAGGGTGATGACTTAGTGTATAAGTGGAAGGTAGAACACGAGGCCGGGATGAAAGCCCTCCAGGCAAAGGAGCAAGAATGCGAGCAAATAAGACAGTTACTGAAAGCCAAGGAATTAGAATGTCAGAAGGAGCGGCAGTTATTGGAAGGACTTGCGAAACTTGTGCAGAATTGATCATCTGAGTATAGAATTAGGACCCATTGTATTTTGTATTTTTCTTTGATTTCTTATGGAGATATCATAGCGACGGGCCTAAGAAATATCCGTAAAGTGATGTGGCAGAACTGCCGACTGGTTCTTTGCGTCCCATAAACACTCAGCCTAAACTTGTGAAGGTGATAAGATATAGTCCATCTCCAACGCAAAATACCCTCCCCCTTAACACGCTTGCACAAGAAGAAGTAGATGAGCCACCAAATACTCCCACGCTATCTGGCATTGGACATCTCTCCATCCCTTTCTCCATCTTTCTCGTCCCTGGAATTTCTTCTCTTCTTCTTCTTCTTCAGTTTTGGGCGAAGATAACACGTGGCGGCTGATAGAAGGGCTACAAATGCTAGGACGCCAATGACAATTCCAGCAATTGCGCTTCCGGATAACTTATTTCTTTTTCCATCGTCATCATCTTCGTCGTCTTCTCGGAATAATAGTGAGGGCTGATTTTGAATTGTCGAGATGTGCGGTAGGGCGGCGGACAGAACCAGGGGCAACGCTATCATAAGGAGGAAAAGTTGAAGAGTGAAATTTCTGGAGTTGTTCATCTCGCAGGATATTGTTTTCATCATAACATTGAGATTTAAAAATGTACTATTTCTTTATTGAAGACTTCTATGGTGTTTTATAATGTGTAATGCTAAAGGGCATCTTTGTTGTCTGATTTTTTGATGTGGGCCAGAGACACGAAGCGCATAAACTTGGCAGCGGCTCATACAAGCTACGCCTCCTTGACAACGTAATCCGATCCTTAAGGAATTGGCACCATCTTTGATATCGCGATGAAGTTAAGGGGAAGAGATCAATCACGAATTGCCCTTAAGTTGGTTAAGTTCTCGTATGAAGCTTGATTCTTTGCTATTTTTTTACTATTTCTCAGTTTAGTATTTGGCCATGACTGCGGGGAGATGTTGCTGGCGTTTAACCCATAATATTTGAATGTGCCATATAATATACCATGCTATAGATCACCTCGGTTTTACTAACCGAAAAGGCTTACGTACCACGGCGAAACTGCTGCGCTCGCTTCCTAAGGAGAGCCCACTTCTATGGATGCCCATATGCTAAGTTAGGAGGACATCTTGGTTCCGAGTCAAGAGTCCTCAACGTTTGATAACGTGTAGCGTGGCTAATATCTAAGAGTTTGATAATTTTCCCTTCAACTCCTTCCTCTCGGCCGCAAGTCTCTTCTCCTCTTTTCTTCGATCTACCCACTCTTCACATTGAGCCAGAGCAGCATCTGCGTCATTCTTATGCATTAACAGAAATGAGATAATCTCAGCCTGACTGAATGTTGCTGGCGGAACCATTGATGCAAACTTTGCAGCTTTTGCTCCCATTGCATCCTGTTCCTTGCTGTCCACGCGGCCATCTTGAGATCCACCATCTCGATTGGCTGGACCAAGAAGAAAGCTGAAAAGATCAGCAATGACCCTGCAGTCGGCAACAGGCAACTCTATCTGCATGTCAACGCGGCCAGGGCGGATCAACGCCTCGTCAAGGTTCTCACGGTGATTTGTAGTCATGACAACGATCCGGCCGTCTTGGGATGTAACGCCGTCCAAAGTGTTCAGGAGTCCTGACAGTGTCACCAAGCCCCGCCCTCGGCGGCCAACTCTTGCCGGCGCCCCATCCTCAATGGTCTCAGGATCCGAGGTTCTCGACACACCCACGGCGTCAATGTCTTCTAGAAGCACGATGCATGTATCGGGCAGACTTTCAAACAGGTTCTTGAGAGTGCTGTTGCTAATGTCTGGGACGTTGATCACATAGACGTCCAGGTCAAGCTCACCTGCTATAGCGAAGCTGAGACTGGATTTGCCAGTGCCGGGTGGTCCGTAAAGAAGGTACCCACGGCGGTATGGTAGTGCACGTTGAGCATACCAAAGACGTGTCTCCTCGCTTAGAAAACCTTGTATGTCGCCGAGAAACTGCTGCTTGCGCTCATGGTCGAGGATGACGGTTGACAACGGGCGTGCGTCCTTATCCTTGAGCTTCTTGAAGCTCGAACTTGAATTTTCAAATATTGATGTCTTGCCCCTGATTTGCTCAAGATACTCGCTGCGACACTCCTGCATCAATTGCTTGAGGATCTTGTTGGACCAGCCCAGACAGCTGAGCGTTGTCTGTTCCTCGGTCCCGCGATCGGCTCCCTTGTCGACGTGCAGGGTCTTGTACGATATCAAGGAACCGTTGTACCAAAAAGTAAAAGATGTCCGCCAGGGCTTGTATTCGAGAGCCTTCTTGCCGCAGTTTTTGGAAACATCACCATGATGCCCCTTCTTCAAGACGCTGACAGAGCACGCTCCGGCCGAGCCCTCCAACCCACGCCGTTTCAACCAAGCGAACAGCATCTCGGATGCCTCGTCCATCTGACTGAGATATATAGTCATAGCTTGAAATATTATGGTCAGCGTATGGATAAGAAAATAACTGTGAAGGGGATGGCATACCAAAATGTGACTTCAACATTCTAAGAAGACGATTAATGTAGGTTTGCACAAATCCGATAATGCCCAGAGCACATGCGATATAAGCAAACATATTCAGATCGCCTGCAAGGACTGTAGACAATCCGCCGAGCATGCGAGAAATGCCGGGGAGGAATACTTCGAGAGCCGAGACATGCTGGAACGGGGTTGAAGGCCGCCTGGCCGAGAATGTTGAGTTTGTTTCATCCATTTCTGGGATCTCAATGAAAAAGAGGTATTCCTCAAATTTGTGATGAACAGGATGGAGAGATCTGATGGAAGCCGAAAATTTATATGTCGATAGGTTGCATGTCAAGTGGGAAGGATTTGCAAAGAGTTTCACCCTGTTGGGCAACACATCGCGAGCATTTAGGCAACAGCTCGCTGCATAGCCCCAACGCTCATTGGCTTGTTGTTGATCGGGCGATCATTACTCTGCATATACGATTTGGAGACGTCGCAAGATCCGATGGAGGCCTATCTTTAAACTGACAGTTGGGATTTGCATGAGCCGGGCTTTACTTAAGGGCCGCTCGGGATTGGCGTGCTGCACTTATTGCCTATTTAGGATTGATGGTTTGATCAACTATCCAGGTGATTTTCCTTCTCTGTGGCCTTGGGCTAGCAGAGTTTGTTTTGCTTTTCGTATGCATTGTGTTGAAGTCGGGTCTGGCATCTTCCATTGCTGGTTTTTACTTTGTACTCAAACTCTCTTACCCGGAGCATCTTGATACGATCAAGGCTGATCAGTCTGCAAATCAACATCTGATATTCAACATGCCTGAGTCAGGAGTCATGAATTCAGTTCTGAGGTAGACTTGTGCATAGCGACCTCAGATAACTCTTTAATAGCGATTGCTTGGACATTTCACTAGCAATATTATGTTCTGGTATGAGTAAAGGGATTGTTTGAGTACATATATAGGTCTTAAATTTTAATACATTGGTATAACTTCAACAAGGCCTTTTCATCTCGTAACGCAACCCGACTCCAATCAGACTCCAGTTGCTAGGCCACCCAAAAACACGAAACCTATAGCTAAGCAGAAGTAACTCTGAAGGGAACATCTACAAAGAAGGAAAAACAAAACAGCGGGGCATTGAAGAGCTGGCAAAAAAAATGTATCTAATCAATTGTAATGCGTTGCTTGTTGCATTTCTGGCTGGGAAGGCTGAGTCGCTCTGCTCGGCTGAGGCGGGCTGAACACCTGCATCCCCCCGTCGTATGTTCGAAGGGCGAGTTTTTGGTTGCAATTGGTGCAATAGTATTCGGTATTCTCGCACCAGTGCAGGATGCAGGGGAGGCATGTGAGGCAGACACAGAACAGACAGAGAACAGCACCGACAACACTGCGAAACAGTTAGCAGAGTAACTTGGATAGGCTCAAGAAAAGTTCAAAATGTATAATGTGGCGTCGTACATTTGCATAGAACCGCCTTTCTTGCTTAGTCTCGTTTGGGCCCGGCGGTTGCAAAAGGGGCAGTCGATGAATTGCGGATGATCTCCAAGCGAGCTCAAGGGAGTGACCATTTGCGGGGCCCCAACGGGATGGCCATTGGATGTGCTACAAATCGATCACTGTTAGCATGCTTCAAGTGTCTAACGGAGCTGATTCCTCGTAGATAAGGAGATTCAGGAACATACTCAACATGAACTGGTACATTGGCACCTCCTTTCGTGGATTGAGTTTCATATGTCGGCGGCGGAACTGGCAAGACTTGGTCTTGGGTGGCCAAGGCTGGCGCAGGGTGGTTATTAAGCCCAGCAGATATGGGCTGTTCTGAAGTTGGCTGTTGTTGATACATGCTCGATGAAGTACTTTCAGGTTCAGCTGAAAAGGATATGAAACAACGAGACCAACCAGAGAACCGGCGGACAGGATATGTATTC